TGCGCAAGGTTCTGAACCGCGGCCTCCTTACTACCCTCCGTATTTACTCCGCTCAGTTGGTCAAGTCAGAAGACCGCTTCCTCACACCCATTTTCAAAACTACCATTTCTGAATGATTAGCCAGTCCAGACCCTCCATAAAGTTGCTTGTAATTTCAAATGTCAATTTAACTAGTAATTCTTAGTCAGATTCATGAATGGAAACTCCGCCAATAAACGACCACTTCAAAGCAGAAACAGTTTTCTGCCAAATGCAATTTTTTTTTTTAAAGCATGCTTTATAAGCCAGGAACTCACTGAACAGGCGAAAATACTGCATATATAAATATTACACAGTTGTGGTTTATTGTTACTAGCTACACAGGCTCTGAGTTGACTCAACAGTCCTGCGAGGCTTTTTTTTTTTTTAATAATTTGTGACTAAACTTGAAGGTTTATTGAAGTTATTTTTTTAAGGATTTGCATCTGAAAAGCAACAGTACCCCCTGCTGGCCTCCAAAATTCTTTAAAATTAAAATCCTCTGCATTCCATTTGACAGATTTCAAATTCTACTAATTCATTCTGTGCACAAGTATGATTTCCTGACCATTAAACAAATACAAATACTCATCTGCAAGCAAGTTTTTTAAATGAATAGCTCTATTAAATACCAGTTTGGCTCCTTAGGGGTTTGAAGATATACAGTATAAACAAGCGATGACCACTAAGTATAATTTTAAAAATATTTACATCTTTTGTTAAACCATTTTTTCCCGGAGGTTCATGGTGGATATGACTGTCTAGAAAAGAAGAGGGGATTTTTAAATGATTCAATCATTGATTCTGTATATTTCTGACTAGGCAACATTCTCTGGGAAGTTTTTCTGATACTACCACTTTCCCACGAATACACTCTCTCTCTCTCTCGTAGCTGTCAAGCAATTAACTTTATTCTACAACCAAAGCTGACTTATCCGGGAAAGTCTTACTTCTGGGACAGGACATTGCAATGAAATACAGGATGCAACTCAGCAGGAATAATCAGGAATCACCTGAACGCTTTCATCCTGCAAGGATCTTCTTGGTATCTCTCTTCACGCAATGTTTCACTTCCATACATTTTTTTAAATAAAAAGATTGGTTGTGATCATAATAGCGTGCATTTCCTGAACAGCCACTAAGCATCACCAACATCATCAAAAAACAGCCTCCCTTGACTTGATGCTCTCTGGCTCTTTTCGGGCTGCTGGCCACCACCTCAGGCCACAGGGAGCACCTTTCCAAAGGCTGTGCCTTCGCAACATCGGCAAAGGTGCCCTCTGTTGCAGCTTTGGCTCAGACTTGGCAAGCAAGTTTCCTGACAGAGTCAGATCCCGGAGCAGGAGTCCATAAACGGCCGTAACAGCAGGCCAATGGATGAAACGGCACATGGGAAGAGGCCTGAGCAGCAATACCAGGTACGAGCGGCCTTCTGACTCGTCCAGCAGTCGCGCTGCTGTTGTTGGAGGGAGCTATTTTGGGGGCAGGTGCTGGAGGAGAGTGTAGCACAGTCAGTCGACAATGCCCTCCTTTCTTACTGCAAATGTTAAAGAAATCAGGAGAAAGAAAAAGGAAGCGGGGAGCTGGAGGAAGAAAATCCGGAGTGGGAGACAACCATTTATTCCACATTCTTGGCATTCCCAGAATGCCCTGTATTCCAATCAATATGCCTACACTGTGTTAAACAAAACGGATTTACACAAGTGAGAGTTCAGTAGGGGTCTCATATATTATTAAAAGTTTATACATTGATTTACAGGGCCAGATTTTTCTGCTGACATGCTTTCAGTGCAGAAGGGGGGGAGGAAATCAATGGCGTTACCTTGGCAGACAATCTGACCCATTTGCATTTAATGGCTTCTCAAAATTATGCAGTACTTAAAAGAAACGGCTTTCACTCGGAACGCTGCTTGAGATCTGAGTAATGAGTCACTTAAAATTGTTTAAAAAGGTTCCCCCCCCCAGCCCACTTTAAATGGGTTTAAAAGCTTACAGGAGTCTTAATTTGGTAATGAAGGACAGGGTATAAATATTTTAAACCAATATATAGGATTCTAGCAAGCTGAGAAAACTGTAATGCAACATGTGAACAAAATCATTCTTCCAGTGCCTTCCTTTGCATGAAATGCCACAGAACGCTTCACGCCACGCACCCAGCATCGCTCGCCCACCTGACAGTCAGTGCCTCCAAGACAGGCACAGGAGCCATTTCCACCAGAGGCGCACACCTGAGCTGGGCAATGGAGACACTCTGCTTTCAGACCAGTGGTAGCTCATTTACATAAATGACGCATCACCTGACGCTGCTGTGAGCGGCTCTGCCATGCCTTCAGATATATCCGAGTTTATCATGCCAGAAATAAGCCTGGCCTTCCCCAGATTCTGAACACTCCCTCATTCCCTCTCCTCCTCCCAGTGCAACTGTTGGAGGACCAGAAGCTTCTACTAGTTTACATTAATTGCAGGTTGTCCTGCCGGCTGAACCTGATAAAACTGGGTTTAAGCCTGTAGTTTGATTAGAACAACTTCAAACTGTGGTTTATAAAGCTGGCCTGTTTCAGGCAAGCTGTAGTTAGGTTTCAGCACATGCAGTTTTATTATTTACTGTATTTTAATACTGCCTCTCAGTGGTTTACAACGATCACCACAGAATCCTACACTCAGCTCGCCCTCGCCCAACCAGGCTTGATCCTGCTCAGCTTCCAAGATTAGGCAGGATCAGGCACTTCAGGCTATATGGCTCTGTTACCCTCCTGCAAGAGGAGGAAAACATGATCCTAGCAGGAACTCGGCTTGCTCCCATCTCAGTAAAACTACCTTTCATTGTAATGATGGGATGCAGTCCATGAATGATTAGCATGCATGGCTAAACGGGAAGCAACACTCATTATTGTGGGTTTTTCAAGTATTCAGTATTCAAACCACACTTGGAAAAATTTAGGTTCCTAGTACAAGAAGAACTCTGTTGCCCTTAGTGTTGGGGTATTTGCGAAAGCCTTGCAGGTAGTACCTACAAGAAGCCAGCAGCCTTATGGGCCAGCTGGGTGGGCACCCGATTTTCTGCACAGTTTGGTCTCACCCACCTAAACATGAGGCACATGGGATTCCCTCCGATGTTCCGATAAACCAGAAATTGATGGCTTGACTCTAGGAAATGATACATGCAGGGCAAGGAAGAAGCACACAAGCTCAGTCGGCCTGGGTCAGGTTCATTCACATAATGCTGAACATTGGCTTAGCATTAGTATCTGAACCACCTCCGCTACAAAGCTATAAAACACAATTCTCAACATGAGACATCAAAAAAAAGAATAATGTAAAGTAAATTATTTTCTATTTAACATCAAAGCTTGGAAGAGAAATCAGGCTTTTCTGGAGCCCAAAGGGACTCGGGGTTACCCAAAGTCACTTCTTGTGAAGTAATTTCGCAGAAGGAATCCCTATTGATTTCCCATAACCCTAGACTCTACTGCAGTGGGAAGACACTGACTATAAAAGCAACTTAATTGCACAGTCACTGATTTTCGGCTAGACACTTTCAACAGGGAAAAAAAAATCAATACGAGTTGCCCAGCTTATTAAGTCATTGTGGCGACTGAGGTCATTAACTCACAGCACAGGAAAAAGTAAAAGCACTCGCTCGCGTCAGTAAGCATCCATATCTGGCGAACTGCTGTTGCCTCCCATTGAAAGAGAGAGAGAGAAAGCTTTCCGATACACGAGGAGGTCTAAGACAAAGCCGAGGGCCAAGCTAGGCACCTACCTGGGGTGCATAAAACACAACCGAGCCTCTCTTTGCCTTGCAGATGCCTTACAGAATGAGCTGCTGCTACTCAGGAGTAAGGACCCAGAGCAAAGAAGAAAAGCCTCTAAGGAAGGGAGGCAGTAATCCAACGAAGGCCTGCAAGGAGGCTGAGGCCTTAGACACGGCTGGCTGGCTCTCCTCCTGGTTTGGCAGCTGCAGATGGATTTCTCATTGTCTACACCTGGGATTTTCCCCCTCCTACCTCCTGAACAAAAGGATCTTCCAGACCTTCTAAAAGTACTGGTCTCAACAATTTAGAACCACAAAAAGAAAAAACTGATTCTTGAAATCGTTCTATGATGTTATGCATTTTTGTAACCAACAAAATACTTATAAATATGGTTATATGCATGTCTGCGAACTTACTCTGAATTGCTGAACAAAGGTATATAAATAAATTTAATGTCGGACAAGCCAAAGAATTCACAACCAGGACCAGAACAGGTAATGGATATTGTCACAAAAAGACTATGACCTTAAGTTCTGCTTAGATATAGAGCGGTATACTATACTGTAAATAAAAATAAACAGGCTGGTCAAAAGCTTTTGGAAACAGGCGCATTTCTGCCAAACAGCTAAAAGCCAAGAAAAATGAGAAGAGCAAGGGATTTCTGAAAAACCACTGCCACAACTGGAAAAAAACCCTGCTCTTTAAAAGGGGAGACTTCTTTGTTCCATGGTTATTTCCATAAAGTATTTCAAAAGTCCGCATGTTTCCCACGGTCAAACAAGTTTTGTAGATTTTTTCGAACAATACCAATACCAAACAATACCAAAAATTAGTGGGATGGACACAAATGCCACAGAGCAAAAGTTATCTTTGAAAACCATCTCCAGGTCTCAAACGATAGCTCTTTCTCAGTCATCAGCCTCAGGCGTCTTCTGCATAAACCACACTGGCTACTTTGGATACAGGACACAACCACACACGGAAGGGCTTGCGGTTCCCTTTCACACAAAGGAATGCGTGGCTCTATCCCACAGCCACAAAGGATGCATCTCCCACAAAGTGTCCCAGGATACATCCTGGGATGTAAGAGCATTTTAACATGAGAGAAACAGCTCAAAGAGGGAGAGAACAGGGAGGCTCAGTTCATACAGCTGCGTTTTCACACTAAATTCATATGCAACAACATAATCTCTCTTTACATTTTGAACCCAGAGCTCTGGTACTTACTATTTTGGGAGAGAAAGGGGGAGGTTTCCCACAGGACACAGTCAATTCCCCACTGTTCTGCTGCTGGTAAACCTCCAAAGCGTCGACAAACTGCACTCCATTGACAAGCCGGTGTCGTTTCCTCACCTGGAAGGAAACAAAGTGTTTTTCACACTTTCTGTGTTGAGGGAAACTCTCACTGCCGGGAGCTGCCTGCTATGGTACCCCCGACACATTGTAAAGGAAAATGAGACATATCGTATGCTGGGGGAAGACAACCACTTCTGGGGGTTGTTTTGGACTTCAGCTCCCAAAAGTCCCTGCCCAACAAGGGCAATACTCTGGAATGCTGGGAGCTGAAGTGCAGAATTTATGAAAATCTGCCTTCGGCCCTCTCCTGTTTGAAGGGACGCAGGGTTCACATGCGAAACAGGTGAGGCCGAGGGGGTCCAAACCGTGTGTCTGAACGGGTTTGAGATTGCACCTGACGTTCCTCAGTGGCTGTGCTTTGAGAACATCAGAACTTAGCTCATACTGTGTTAGAACACGGTCACCGGTCTTCAGCTACTGGGTCATGTGGCTGCTTCACAGCCTGACCTTGGAACAGCAGCATCACCTTCATACAAAAGCTGATCCCCAAATGCCATGTTTTGGCTAAAGCAGGCTCCTACACTAGAAAATTCTGGGACTATCTACACAGATGGGCAGTGACTCCCCAGGGGGGAGAGGAGTCTTTCCCAGCCCCACCTGGGTTGAAATTGGGATCTTGCGCTTGCCCTGCCATTGAACCATGAAGAAGATCAGCAGCAGGGAGTTGGGTGGCTTGCAGAAGGGCTTGTCTTACTAATCTTCTCAAGGAAGAATTCACGACAAGGTTCTGGGGGGTCCCCAAACCACAGATCAAAATCCACTAGCTTAAGCTAATAGGAAAAATGTGGTTATTTCCCCTCCCTTGGTATTTTCTGTACACTCTGGGTAACAGCTGGCCTGCTGAATGATGTTGACATAAAACTAGCAGCCACTCCAGCAGGCTGCATAGAGGAAGACGAGAGGGGAGGAAAACCCATTCTACCAGGGACTACGCAACTTTTTATCCTTCTCTGCCCACAGGGAGAGAATCTTCTTAGATTATAAGCCTATGGGTAAGGACTGCTTTGTTTTACCATTTGCATATAAGCTGCTCCAAGAACCTTTCTGACTGAGAAGCTGAATTTTTAAACTGATTAAAAGTAAAATAGATAAAAATACAAAATTACAAAGGAAAATGTAGACATTCCACCAAAGATCAGGCCGTTTTGAAACTATGGCGTATTCCCAACCTCCTTCACTAGTGGCTGTGTTATATCAATGCTTTCACTACACTAAAACAACTCCCCGGCCAAAGGATAACTCTGGCCCGATATATTCCCCATTGAGGGATCCTTTCTCCAGTGTCCCCCAATGGCACCTTCTGTGAGCTTTTCACACATGCAAGCCAAGCTTTAAATTTAATTGTGCTACCAATGGAATACCAGGGTGATTAACAGACAAAACCATCTTCAATTAGTGGACTGCAGTAATATAAAGAGCTTTCATTTTAACATGTAAAAGAAATTCTTGTTTTGTTTGTTTAATAACAGGCTTCTGTGTGAGGAACAGCAAAAATGGAAAGAACCAGTATAAAGCTGAGACCCTACCCAGCTAATCGGATGGAGAATTAAATGGCTTTTTTGATGAGGCATGGATTCAATTTACTGACCGCAGACTTTGCTCACCTGCTCCTCCGTTTCTAGTGAACGAATCCTTTTCCTATCGACTTTAAAATCATCAGCTTCCTCTTCATGTGAAGATGCCTGTTTTTTGGCAGACAGCTTGGAAGCGAGTGTGCTTTTCGGGATGTCCTCTGCAACAGCAACATATGAAGTACATGTTATCACAGGAGAAGTGTTCTTTCACCCGAGAAGTTCCTTATTCAATAGAACAATATAGTGGACACTGAAGAAGCGGGAACAACCATCTAAGGAGAAACAGAGCCTGACAGAGAGAATGTGCTGTGATCGAAGAAGCAGCCCCGAATAAGCTGTACTTAAGTTGCTCTCAATCGGTCAAAGAGGAAAACCTAATAGCTAATTGCACTTGTTCTAATCCAGAATGCGCCTACGTGAGTTCTGAATCCAACTCCTTTCAAGTCAGATCTGTGGGTACAACGATCCACCGTCTCCACTGAGAGGCAGCTCTTTGTGCATGTTCAAGTCCCTGAACATCTCAAGAATCACTCAGTGGGGGAGGGGGCTCAGCCTGGTGTCTACCCTTCCTGTGCATCTTCACCAGTCCGCCTGCTTAAGGCCAGGAATCCAGCCCGTGACGGCCACCCCGGGAAGACATCCCAAGAGCACTGTGGAAATTACTGGTTTTGCTCGCCACGGCTCCACGGCTTGTGTGCGCCACTGCTCCCGTGCTGGCGGAGGAGGGGGAGGCACCATGGTCCCCCCCTGCCTTGCTCTGGCCCGGGGCCACGAGTTCCGCATGGCACCCACACCGGCAAGGCAGCGATGTCTTCAGCTTCTTACATTCCTTCGAGGCCGGCAAGTCATCCAGCGGCTTTTCTGAAGTGCAAAGAAGAGAAATGCGCTTATTAAAATGCTGCTGGTGTCTGGGAGATCTGGGGGATCCTCAGAGCTGGGGGATCCCTGTGCTGGGTGCTTCCTTCTCCTCCCCTGGCCTGAGGAAATATAGGAACCCGGGGAGCTCCCTGACACAGGGTGAGGCCACTGGCCCATCAACCGTCTGCTGCTGACACTGGCCGGCAGTGGCCCTCTGGCCACGGACCTGCTGCCTGCAAAGCCGAAGCGCCACCTCTGGGCCGCAGCCCCGTCTCCAAGGCTTTGGCCGTGGCTGTTGTGCCACCAACACCCCCCCCCTGAGCTGTGTTGCTGCCGCCCTTGGCCTGCTGTAATTTAAGGTTGCCTTGTCCACTGACAATTTCCTAAGATAGAATCTACAAAACGCCTTTAAGACAGTCGTCAGGGACTCTGACCCTGGCTGGTCTAAAGGTTAGCTTGGCTGGCCGAGAGAGACAAGGAGCCACCAGCAAGATCCCAAAAGACAAAAGTTCTTTATTGGAGCGTGCATGCGGCAACACAAAGGAGAGCCTCCCCTTCCATAGGAGGCCAGCACAAGCCAATTGCAAGCCAGATGTTTTTCTACATTTGAAACATTAACGTACAGACAGGGATAAAATACGGAACATATTAAGTAATATATATATATGATTATAAATAATTTTATAATGAATAATATAATTTATAATAGTATCTTATGATATATATTTTAATAATTATATATGTATTATCTATAGCAGCAAATTTTATTAAAACATTAAAGGCAGGAAATATAAAGGGAGTGTTATATTTGTATTTTGGGTTTCTTCACAAAATGTATGGAGATAAAATTCATAGATATGAAAAAAAATCTATAAACAGGGCAAAATGACCAATGATTTGCTGTTAAAGGCATAAACTTTCTACCAGCTCAGACCACAGCTCCTTCCTCCTTAGTTTTATCTACAGATCGACAACTCTCGACGTCTGCAAACATGGGTCTCTCCAGGCCTCCCTTAGAGATGCCAGGGGTGGAATCTGGGACCATCTGCTTGTACTCTGCCACTGACCTATGGCCCTTCCGCTCTGAAGGAGGCAAGGAGAGCGCCCACTCCCAAACAGGTGTCTGAACAAAAAAGTTTACTATGTACAGCGCATCACGGAGAGACAGAGAAAGCTGCCCCCCCCACCCATTCTCCTGCCCAGCTATTAAATAGTGCAAGAGCGCCCCCTTCCTCTGCATTCTACTGATGCCGCTCTGATTTCTCGGTATCACCGTCATAAAACAGGCACACCTTACACCCTTCAGCAAAACAACCAATCAGATACAAAACCATCTGTGAGTGAGTGAGTGAGTGAGAGAGAGAGAGAGAGAGAGAGAGAGAGAGCGCGAGCATGCGAGCAAGCAGACTATCTGAATATAGACAGATATAGCCCACGCAACTTGTTCCTGGGAACTTCTGGGATGACTTACTGGTCGTTCCAGCATTCATTACATCAACAGGTAATGGCACAAAAATCGCCCTTCTCAGTGGAAGCACCCACTCTTTGCGACACTTAAAACATCAAAACATAGAAACTGAGTGAGTTAGAAGGAGCCTCCCGGGCCATCTAGTCTGACCCCTGGGGCTCCAGCCGGCTCCGCTCATGGGTCCAAGAGGCAGAAACCACGGCAAGTTTTAAGAATGATCCCCATGACTGGAAGTGGGACACTGCAAAATGGCTCACCACAGAATGCCTGCTGCCACGCCAGTACGGAGCAGAGCAGTGCCAAGCTTTTCCCGCTTCCGGTAGGACTTTCCAACAGGCAGTGCTGCTTGGAGTTCAGCCCCCTCACAATCTGTGAAAAACAAATACATCCAGTTAGCCCAGGAGACCACGTGCCCGGTTTTCCACTCTAACCAGAGTGGAAGGGGCTTTTCTCAGTTGGAAGGTCCCAGACAAGAATGCTGGGGGCTGGGGGTGCTCATCTCACTCAGACGCAGGCACGTGGCTTCTCTCACCTGCCCACTGGGGAGCAAGCCAAGCCCTGGAGAACACTGCCACACCTTGGTGCAGTGGCTCCGTGGTAAGTCAGGAGAAGAGGCCTTTGCAGGCCAGGTGGAAGGCAAGGCCAGCCAAATGCATCCTGTAAGGTGCAGATTCCAGCTGCTGTTACTACTTCTAACATAACAACAACACTAAAGGAAGCATCTCTGCAGCTTCACCAAAGCGAGAGAGAGTGCTTGAGCTCCAGACAGGAGGAGGCCTATTCCCACAGCTCTTAACAAAGGTTCCGCCACACTATGTCCAAACCGGAGTAATGCTTGTAACAGAGATAAGAAATTGTTTTAAATTCCATTCTCTGTTACCTAAGGGTTTCTAATGTTGCATTTGATAAGCAGCGAAAGCTCCAACCCACCACAAAACAAAAAGAAAAGCAGAGACGAAGTACCCAGGAAGATGGAAACGCCTGGCTTCTTTGGTTTTAACTGCAGTACTTCACTGTACCAGTTTCATAAACAAATAATGCTACATCTGGCTTCTTGACACAACTTACAGCGTTCATCATGGCCAGCTGTGAAGGGTAAGCTTTGCAAGGGAATGGGATTCTCACACCCCCAATGGTGTATTCCGATGTCGATGAAGCCATTGTTCCTTTTACTGTTGAAATTTTACACCTGCAAGAGCGGGCAACAGGAAGGAAAGCCATTTTAAATGAAGCATATTAGTTATGCAACAGCTACTACAGCACCATGAGAAAAAGCACACAAAACTAACTTAATACAGGGCTAATATGTTAGTAATAGAAATGTTATAATAATAATAATATTGGTCTACCTTGCAGGGTTATGGTAAGGATTGCAATTTTATTTAGCTAGTTTATTTCTGGTTTTTACCCTCTTTTAGGATAAATGCAGTGTGCAAACAGATAAATGGAATTTACAAAGCAATTCTAAACCTAGGGTCCAATCCTCAGCATGTTAAAAAGAAAATAAAGGCATTCAGCTTCCCATAGTATGAATTGTAGGGCTTCAGATTGAAAGATCTAAATATTATTATTTTGCATCTTTATTTTTACTCTATTATTATCTAGTATTTTGTAGCATGTTATTATTTTTTAAACGCAGTTTCTAAATTCTGTTTTTTAAAGTTTCTTGTTTCTATTTCTAGAATTGGGAGTTCGGCTTGATTGTGGTATTATTATTAGGTAAGCCATGTTAACATGTGCATTTAACATAGTAAAGAAACACAAAAAAATGTGAGCATAAAGCCACTTATTACAAAACATACATATATACAGAAATTATGTTTTTCATATATATTTTTATTTTGTTGCCACAATTTTACTAAATTAGTACCAGCTTTTTATAGGTTCCAACCCATGAATTCACTCCATTTCTATAAAGCCCAACAGCTAATGTTCTCTCAGTGATTGACAAAGATTAAATCCTTTAAAGTAATTTATAAAAAAAAATATAGCTACTAATAATTTGTTAAAAAATCTGAACAGTCTGAGTTGCACTTAAACTCTGAATTAGAAATGGAAAGTATCTTATTGTCCATTTAAGTAAAGAAATAGCACAGCACCTTGAACAAACAGATAGCAAAGAATGTTCTAGAATAACCTCCCAAAATGTTGTATGTATCAGACTATTGTATGTAGGAATTCCATACTGGAGTCAAACACATAATTTTAACAAGTTGGAACAGATTTATATATATTTTAAATATTACTTTACTACGAATTGTTTATAGAAAAGAACTTAAACTTTACGGTTAAGGTAACTTTTCAGTGGAGCTTCGACATTTACCCCCCAACTCAACCTTATCCTCAACAACCGAGGAAGGCAGGCCTGGGTTCGAGCCCCGCTCAGCCATGCAGCCAAGTGGGCGTCTTCGGCCCAGCCTCGCCCCCAGCCTCCCTCGCAGGGTTGTTGTTGCAGGGCTGGGACTGAGGCCACGAAGAGTTCTGTAGGACGCTTCGAATTTTTTTTAGGCGGAGGGATATAAAGCTGATAAATCTGAATAAATCACGTTCGGGGGGGGGGGGCATTTTACCAGCGCCTGGGCGAACGAGCTTTTTCTCTGCAAGAGAAGGGGCGGCCACGAAGCCTGCGCCGAGAGTGCCGCCGCTCCGGCTGGGGGCCGGCCGGGAAGGCCGGGGGGTTCCGCGCCCCCGACCCGCCGCGAAGGGGCCCGGCCCGCGAAGCGCCCCACGCCGCGCTTACCTCTCCGGCGTCTCCTTCCCGCCACACTCCCCACGCCCCTTCTGCGCCCGGCCCCGTCCGGCGCGGCAGCCAATCAACAGCGAGCCGGAAGCGCCGGAAAGCCATTCAGCAGCCGCGGAAGGCTCAAGGCCCGCCCACATTTCGTCCTCAGCGCCGCCGCCGTTATAGGTTCTTTCTTCCAGCCACTGCTGAGCGCCGCTTCCGGGTTCTTGCCGTTGCCTAGGAAACCGCCGCTTCGGGCGGCCTCAACGCGCTTTCCCCAACCTGGCGCCCTCCAAATGTAGGGGAGGGCTACAATTCCCAGCATCCCCCTGCGAGCGGCTTGTTGTTGTAGGTGGCAATTGGGCCAGGTCGCTTTCAATGGATGTCAGAGGGAAAGCTGTTGATTTGTTTATATCCCACCTCTTTTTCCTCTTGTGAAGAACCCAAGACAGCTCTTCCTCTCCATTTTATTCTCACAATAACCCTGTGAGGTAGACCAGGCTGAGACTCGGTGTCTGGAACAGACACACGGGGCTTCATGGACCAGCGTGGACTCAAACACAGATTCCCCATTGCAATAAATTATTCTCACCAAATCCCAGTCCAACACTCTTAACCACTACACCATCCTGGATCCCTACTTTTTCCCTTATATATTTTTATTTAATTGAACAAAAGGTATTTCCCCAACTATCCCACTACAGGGATTAATTACCAATGGTGGGATTTTATGATGCAGTCAGATCCTGCTCCTGGTAACAGGTAATGGAAAATGAATATGTACCTTGCATCTATTTAAGCTTTGACATACTTACTGAGAAACACTATTATCTTTAAGGCACCACAAGTCTCTTTGTTTTGCTGCATCCAACAGCTATGCCTGCGAAGCGATTTCGTTTGGCTACTTCAGTATAATACTATCGAGACTGAAAACAAGCAAGTTATTTCCACCCTGGCAAGTGGAGGAACAGGATCTTGCTAGACAATGTCTGATGCATCAATCACACGACACGGCAAACTCAAAATTTCAGCTATACATTCTGCAGAACCCCTTTTCTGCACACCAATCTACGTGAGGCTCCCCCTTCCTAAGTTAACCCTCTCACTATGGCCCTTTGCTTTGTGTTAGGATATCCCATGAGTACTCCATAACATCACATAGCATAGGTATCAGCTCCTCGAGGTTTCTTTCCTAAAGGATTTTGCACTTCCACAAACATTGGTGCTTCCAAAGCCCGCTTATGCTTCCCACTTGTGATGCTGTTTTGACTACATACAGATCCGCACCTCAACCCTGAAATCAGTAGGAGGATGTAGTATATACGCCACACAAAAAGAAGGCTGAACCATCAAATTGTAGAAACATTTATCAGAAACATCATTTCCACTGGGCCCCATTGCCCCAGCTCAGACAATACGGCAACCCGCACTCAAAGGCTGACTATGGGTTGAAGGTAGGCTGTTGCTGAACCACGGATCATTCCAGAAACAAGGGTTATTGTGTTGTCTGAATCCACCCTAACGGATAGTGCTTTGTTAGCCATGAACTACCACAGTGTTGGGTTGTGAACTGTGGGTTGTTCGTGATTAACAATGCATGTGTGGGGGGGGGGAGGTTATTGCAGGGGGTTCAGCCAGCACATGGTTCAGCGATAACGCACTCTCAACCTCTGTTGTGTCATCTGAACCCAACCACTGAAATAAAACAGTCTATAAAAATATTACAGCTTAAGAAACCTGAAGACATGCAAATATATATGCATCTTCCATCGGTGTCTGTGAGAAACCAAGCCACTAGAGTATACGAAGATATAAAGATGCACACTCTATTGGTTTTGATGGTACTTGTGGTAAGAAAGCAATGCTGGCAGAGACCACGGAACAAAAGGTATCTCTGAAGAGACTTGTGAGGATCAACCTGGCAGTCTGAGTATAGCATCAAAACAACCATTTTTCAAAGAAAAACAAGGAGCAGTGCTCAGTCCTTGGGTAGTTTAAGCTCTCAGGCCTCCGTGTACTGATTCTCACCTTTAAAATTAAACCTAAACCCTTTAATAATAATATACTGAGGAGGAGCTGCTACAAGACTGTTTGCATGTTATTGTGCAATAAATCATATATGCACACACCAACTCAGAAAACCTGCAGAGATACTAACAGACTGTGATTTGAGCAGAAGGGGAAGAGAGTGTTTAAAAATAACCTGGGAGAGCCATTTTCCTAAAAATAAAAAAAAAATGCAAAATTGCCAAAGCAAAACACAACTGGATCATGAAGCAATTAACCTTTCCTCTAAAACTTTTGCTAGGACTAAAAATTGCAAATTTGTGTGTCTTGCTCACAAAATAATTGACTCCCAAAGTCACTTGGGTACTTCAGGCTAGTATGTGTGTCCCAATTTCCAGCAGGAATGTCAGTTTCAGAATGCCCTGGGTTGCTTTATGTTCGCTAGTTGCTTTTCCTTGCACCTATTCTGAATAACGGGTGCTAGGTGGAGAGGTTAAAAACCAACTTGTCAACTCAGCTTTCTGCAAGCTGATGTCAATCTATCTTTTAAAAAATGGATTTGAAAAGCAGCAGCGTTTCAGTAACAATAGCACTCAATTTGTAGGAAAAAGAAGTTCTCCATTAGTTTAGTACTGCAGCTTCAGGGGAAATTTGACAGGGGTCCCTTGTGGAAGAGAAACAGGCAGCCCCATATGTGGAGTACAGGGCCTGGATCCTAACTAGCTGCTGAACCTCCTTAGCGGAGCATCACAAGGGAACTTTCTCGGCAACAGCCAACCATCCTTGGAGCCAGCTGCATTGCCCTAGCTTCTCCTCCAACCTCCTTCCGTTCTGATACTTTCCAACATCTACTTGGTCTTTTTTCCAGCCTCCTCCCAAGTTTGTTTCATGGGCCAAAGGCCATTTCCAGAGCGTTCCAACTGAACACAGTATTTCACACAGATTTCTGCTGGTGGTCCACCTTCCACCAAGACGCAGCAGGGGTGTCCAAGACACTGTAAGGAAAAAATACCAGCCAGTCGCTTCTCCAAAGGTTGTACGAAACACATATTTGGTCATTGTTTGTGAATCCCTCACTTCAAAAGCCACCAGATAGAGGAGTTCCTCAGAGAAGAAGCGACATCATGGCCTCTGCAGCCTTCTAAAAATACTTGGATGCTTTCGCTGAAAGTGGCATAGTTTCTTTCACCCACAAAGGTTGCCTGAAATCCACAGAGATGAAAAATACACTGTTTGTTCCAAGCCAATTCTTTGCTGGATGATAACCAGTCCATCTTCTCCTTGGCATTCGCCAACCAGAACTCAAACTTGGCGAGAGTTCTTCTGCTTCAGGCAGGCTTAAACTCCACTCACGCTCATGTTGATTATTTCGATGAATGTGTTTTCAATACAGCGGCACAGATGGACGTTGGGGTCCGTGCTGCCGACATCTCCTGCACTGTTCTTAAAAGCTGGCAGTTTTGGAAGTCTTGCCCATTCATACGGCTTCTCTTTCAGTTGCTGGAGACCTACGGATAAACCAAGGCCAAACACAATGGAAAGAGCAGTAAAGGTTAAAGACGGAACTAGGAACGCTTTTGTGCTTTGGGGCAGTAAGAGATGGGGGCAGCAGCTCGGCGGAAGAATGTATGATCGATAGCCAGAAAAGCCGCAGATTCAGCTCCTGTTAGAAATGGTTCGGCCGTTGATAGACGGGACTTTTTCTAGTGGCAGCACTGGAAAAGAGTAAGCAAAGGACGAGCAAAGGGTCTCCAGATGTGGTAAGACTTCAACTCTCGACACTTCTCCCCATCAGTGATGCTGGGAGGAGCTTTTGGGAGTTGAAATGCAGAACACAGGGAAATTAATTTCTTCCCATGCTTGCTGTCAACAACACTGGGACAGATGGAGGTGCTTTGGACTGGCCGGCGGGTTTTGCTTACCGGGCAGCACAAAAATGTAATCAGTCAACCAAGCATCTGACTTGGTAGGAAGATGAGTTTTGTAAGAAAGATGCTGAACTGGGCAATGCAAATGCTGCAACAGAAAAGCGGAATGTAGCCGTTTTGGGTTGCAATCGTGGTCAATCGCCCAGAGCGCTTTGGCTGCCAGACATGATGGAAATGCAAGAAATGAAATGAAAACAACATGAAATTCTATTGTACTGTGTGTAAATCATTAAAATTAACGAGAGTTGCATCATTTCTCATATTTTGAATAACGTACTGTGCTTCTGTTGGCTGTGGGTAAGAGCAACCTTGCCCCTGACCACCAAATCTTACTTTGATGCTTTAGATTTTAGGTATGCATATACATCTAAGTGTATCTTTGCCACTGTGAGCCCAGGAACCTGAGCAGCATTCAAACGCAGCAGTGAAATCCATAGGAAGCAAGATTCTCTGGCTAATACCATGTTCTTTTTTCTGTTTGTTTTTTCCATGCTCCTTCTCACAACATACATGCAAAGATCACCGGGGAAATGCTGTATTTTACGGTGTTTAAATGAAATTTGGATGTTGTATGATACTGATGTGTTGCAGTCACCTTCGAAGGGTGGAAATCAGGAAAATAGGGTGGGAAATAAAGTACCATGGATCTCAGTGAATCATATTTTTCTTAGGTCGACAGGTAACAGAACCTGCTCACCCTTGCCCAAATTTCACTGTGTCTAAGAGCACACAGTGTTATCTTTGATTTATACCACCATTGCTTCCTAAATCTGCATAAAATTTATCTAGTGCTGTAAGCCGCCCCGAGGCTTCGGCGAATGGGGCGGCATAAAAATGTTTTAATAAATAAATAAATAAATAAATATAAATAAATAAAAGAAGCCCAAAGACACGCCAACGCAGCAACATCGTGGGTCAAGGTTAGTACAGGTAAGAGCCTTTTGCTGGTGGAATGCTGGTAACAGAAGAGCGAGAGATGGATTTGAAATAGCAAATGAGCTTGGCAGATCCCCTAGTCTCTGCCAGGAGCTGGTGCTGCCAGGGCAGGACTTTGGGGCAGGTGTCCAGGGCCCAGCTTGGCAGAATGAGCAAGAGGGACCCCATCTGCAGCAGAGAATTATGCTGTGTTGCAGTTATATGAAATAATACAGACTGTCAAGAAAGCAGCCCCCACAGCTGCTCTGAAGATGCCTAAGCCCAGAGCCTAAAAGCGACCAACAGTGTAATGTCTCCAGGTCTCAGCCGTGCCAGAGGAAGACGCCGGCACGTTCCCGCAGAAGTCAGAGCAAAGAGCCCCTGAGAACTGGCAGCCAGACACCCACAGAAGACTCCCTCTCCACCAGCTCCCACGTAATCACAGCAGAAGACAGGATCATGACGAACTCTGAAGACGTCCCCGCTTCCTCCTACACGCCCGAGACAGGTACTTACGTGTAATGACAGGGTCGAAATCCCGGGTCTCTGTGGCGACGTCGGAGGCACAGACTTGCCCGATCTGGATGAGCAGGGAGATGATGTCCTCGTACAGCGGAGGGAAGGCTTGGCAGAAGGATACCAGGCAGGGCAGGGTGGGCATGAAGAAGGCGTAGCGCTTGGCCTCGGTCAGCACTGGGGAGGCAACGGCAGTCCGTGAAAGGAACCGCACAGGGATTTTAACCGCAAGCTCTACGCTGCATTCTTCGTACGTGCGACAGTTTTCCCGCGGGGCTCCTCGTGCGCCTAACCATCCGACAAGGAAACATGTCTGCGCTCCCCTATTTTTGGAAGGGGTCCTTGGGTGAGCATGTTGAGAGAATCAAGCGTTTTGTGGAAATCCTCTGTACATGCTTGGGCATGCTGCCTGGGGGACGATGGAAGAGGTAGGCCTTTCCGTGGTCTAAACCCACATAGAGCTAGTGTGGTGTAGTGGTTAAGAGCGTGGGACTGGGACTCAGACAACCTGGGTCGGCCATGGAGCCCACTGGGTGATTCTGGGCCACTCACAGACTCTCAGCCCAGCCTACCTCACAGGGTTGTTGTTGTGGGGATAAGATGGAGGAGGAGAATCATGTAAGCTGCCTTGAGTCCTTTGAGGAAAAAGGCAGGATATAAATCGAAAAATAAAATAAAATAAATAAATAAACAGAAGTGTGCCTTAAGTCTCTGTTAAGTCACAAGATTTGTTATCATGAGTCCCCATGAGAGCACCTCCTGGGAGAATGCAGGAGAGAAGAAACCAGAGCCGCTGCTCCTAGCTCTTCGCCCCCTGCCTGCTGCAGCCTGGTTACAGGAAGGCCGTGTGTGAGAATTTCTTTTCTGACTGCAACCCCCAGCCCCCAGAGGGCCACCAAGTCCCACTTACCAGTCAGCAGCGTCCCCATGACGTTGATAGCCAAACGGGCCACACTGAGTGACTTTGGAAGCGCATACTGAATGCACAGATGGGAAAGCAGCTGGATAGCAAAAATCTGGAATGTGAGGGACAAAAGAAAGGAAGAGAAATAAAACTCAGATGCAAAAACAGCATTGGCAAATTATTGTTCCTAAATTGTGTTTTAGTTAAAGCTATTCCCAGGGATGGGTTTATTCCAGACTAAAATTCCAGAGGGGCTGTGGCACAATTAGGTGGCATACAGATGTTTTAAAGAAATAGGGAGGGAGGAGACAGGGGGGGTTTCCTATGACCTTCAAGTGACCTGGAGGGTGGCAGGGGAGGAAGGAGACGCCCGCTGCCACTCGCTGTACCTGCTTCTCCAATTCGGGCTGGGCAATCAGCTCAGGAATGAAGTCCAGGCAGATGTGCATAGAGGGGATGCCGGCCACCGTCAGAGGGAGCAGCTCACACGGATAGCCCTGTCGAAGCAGAAGGGAGCCGCGGATGAAGGGGGCGGCCACCTGGGCTCGTCTCAGGCCCCAGGGAGGCGCACGGACCTACGCTCGCCGCACCCCGGCCCCACACTGGGTCCCACACGGCCACTCACTCTCCCGACCCCATCCCCTCCAGAACGGGGCCCAAGGCGTCCCCACCCCACGGGGGCGAGCGCAGCCGAGCTTGGACGACGCTGCGAAACGCTTCCAGGGGCAACACGTGGTTCGACCCCAGCCTGCCCCGCTCAACCCGCGGCCACGCTGCCGAGCCGTCAGCCCGCGGCCGCGGAGGCCCCGCCCACCGACCTGGAAGTGGACCAGCTTGGCGATGTTGGGGTCGGCGATGAACATCTGGTGCAGCAGGCAGCAGATGAGGCACTGCACCTCGCGCAGGTTGCACAGCAGGCTGTCCTCCTCCTCCTCGCCGCTCCCCCGCTCCTCCTCGTCCTCCTCCTGGGTCAGGTCTCTTCGCCAGGGACTAGAACCCTGTGCGCTCCTCAGCGGCCTGTCAGAGGGGCCGCCCTGGCACTTCTCCTCTTCCACCGGCAAACAGATTTCAAGCAGGATCTGGATGGCAGCGCTATCCTGGGGGGGGGGTGTCAGTGGAGGGGAGGCCGAACACGGTTTCTTTTAATTACCCTTGAAAACCTGGAGCCGCACTGTCTGAAGGACCAGCACCCCGTGTGAGCATGTCGGCTGGGGACAGTGGGCCCTGCTCCCCAGCTCCCCAGAGCGGGGCCTTTTCAGCAGTGGCCCCCAAATGGGGAAATGCCGTCCCTAGTGGGGTCCACCCGGCACCTGCTCTGTGGACTCTGCGGCTGCTCCCGCCTGGAGCACAAGCCCGCGCCACTACCTGGGCAGCCAGCAGCGCGTTCTTCAGCTCCTCCCGCGTCACGTCCACGGCCTCCAGGCCCATCACGCTGTTCTGGGAGGGGCGGATGTCTTGGTCGGCGGTCTCCTTGAGGTGGGCGCTCAGGTAGGCTTTGGATGCAAGGAGGTACCCGTTCAGCATGTGCAGGGTGATGTCCATCAGAGGGGGACACCTGAGGTGAGGGAAGAGGGAGCAGAGCTGGTCACACCGAGCTGGGAAGAGCTGAATTCTGAACTGTGCATCAAGCCAGTGAAGCGGCCAACCAGGGCCCGTATCCTCTGTCTGCAACCTGCCCATATCCTATTAGCTATCCTGCTGTGTCCTGAAATTTCAGCGGGCATTGCTCACGCCTTCACAAATAGATCTCAGGACCCTATGGGCTAGACACTTTAAAATTTAAAGAATAAATTAAGCAAAGCAAGTGCAAAAGCAGAAAATCCAGGCCAAAGACCACTGTCGACATATTTTTCCTGTAAGAACTGTGGCATGTACACAGGCTGGATCACCTTTGGGAGCGAGTGACTGAGGCCACGACTAGGAAAGGTTCCCAGAGAAAAGGCCGCTTTACCTATGGACTCTCGGGTCGCATCTCAACACTGTGAGAGGGTCGATCATCAAGTCCTTCTGGGTGTACTTTTGCTGCCTCGTCATCTTGACCGACGGCTGCAAGGCGTTCGCTGTCATCACCCACAACCTGAAGAAAGGCAGAGCTGAGAGGCCCAGTCCTGTTCCCTGGAGGTCCCCAAACCAATTAGCAGCCAAGTCCATTCTGGCAAACAAACCAAGGGGCAGGGCAGGACCTGCTGGAGTCTCCACTCATGCTTAACGAATAATTATACATTACAAAGCGACTCGTCTCCCAAGACTCAATAACCCACACTCAGGGGTTGAGTACAGGTTGCTGTTGAAACAGGGGTTAGTGTGCTGTCGGAAGCCAGCTGTATGCACAAGCTATGTACGAGGAGAAACCATGATTTGGGTTGTGGGTTGTGAATGATGGGCTGCTCACCATGTTTTATTATCTAGGGGTGAACTCAAGACAACTTGGCTTCAACTACCAGCAGTTCAATGCCAGTCCTGTGCTGTCCGAGCCTGGTCAGAATGTGACTAGTCAGAAGCCTAGAATGTGGCTTGTTCACCATCGACAACCCAGTGTTCATAATCCAACAAAAAGCAGAGACCCCTTCTGTGGGTGGCTTGTGGCTGACAAGCCATGATTTGGCAGAGTTGGCGGGGTTCAGATCATACAGCAACCCGCAATAACGACCAAGGGTTCAAGTGACAGGCCACACTCAACCCCGAGCCACGTGGAGCTGCTGACACAGAGGCCCAGCAAGGCCCCAGAAAAGGGCAGCTCCATACCTTCGAGGCATGACTGTGTTCAGGGTCATCCAAAGCCGATTGACCATCTGAAGGACCCGACGAGGGACCCCAGGGTAGAGCAGCTGGTTCATGTTGGACGCCAGAGCCTCTGCAAAAGGGATCAGCTCTCCAGCCGAGAGGCACGTCAAATGCTCCAGGACCTGCAGCACCTTAGTGTGGCTTCCCTGCAGTGCGGAAAATGCTAGGGATTTAAAAAAAACAAAACGAAACAAAGATGGTGTTCCAATTCATTCAAAGAAGTCGGTTAGACAGAGCAAGGGGTGGAAGCCAGTGGCCATCTAGATGTTGCTGGACTACCGCTTCCACCGTCCCCAGCCTTTCATCATGACTGGTGCTGATGGGAGGTGGAGTTCGACGACATCTTGAGGACAACCAGTTCATCGGCTCCAGTGCAGAGGATCCACCCCTTCCTTTGCCTCCATCCCCAAGAAATTCAACCGATGCCGAGTTTCTTATTGGGCAAGTGCCAGGCTAGAGCCTCGGTCCCTGTCTTCCTTAAGCTTTTGGAAAACCCATTTTCCAGGCATTACCAACACTGACTCCTTGCTCACAACAAATGGTGTTTTAAAACAGAGTCAGAGCAGGAATTGCGAGATTTAAAGCATGCCTTCTACCCTCGTGCAGCACACACGGGTCTCCTCTCCATCCCATCCTCACAACAACCCTGTGAGGATGCTCAGGCTAAGGATCCGGGACTGGCCCAGAGACGCCCACTGAACCAGAGTGGCGTGGCCAAACAGGGATGAGGACTCCCTGGCCGCCGGACCACTTGTGTGCCGTTTTCTTTCCCTTTCTGGCACCCTGTTTCGTGGCGGTCGCCCTGTGTGGGTGATTATTCATTTTATTTTGATTCTGTGCAGCACCCCAGGCACTCTGGGCTGTGTGGGGGTTAATAAACGGTCCCAGTGCCCTTGCCAAGGGGAAGGACGTCCTATTTATTTATATTATTTTATGTAAAATATTTATATCCTGCCCTATATGCAAAAGCGTCTCAGGGCGGCTTTCAAAACTCAAAACAAACAACCCAACGATTATCAATCATGAAAAATGGGCACGAAGCCAACAAAAACATTTCACAAATGAAAACAGAATCAAAACGGAATCGAAAGCAAAAACAGGAGGAAACTCAAAATGTGGCTGTGAATCGTTAAAACCAGATTAAAATTCCTGACCTTTAAAATGGGGGGCAGAGGAGGAGGTTTTCCCCGGCGCCGAAAAGAAGATCAGGTCGGCGCCAGGCGAGCCTCCCTGGGGAGGCGACCCTACCCTCTCGGAGCTGCTCGGGAGAGTGCTTCTTGGCCGCGCTGGTGAGCAGCATCCGGCGCAGCAAGGCGTCCGTGCCCGTGATGTGCTCCTCGCAGATCCAGTCGTCCACGATGCAAAGGTGAGGGTAGTTCGTGGCCAGGAGGCGCAGAAGTGAGGAATGCAAGCCTTCGAGGGGTCAAGAGAGATTTCCCGTTATGAGCAAATGAATTTGGATCTGCTGGTTACTCATTACGCAAAGCTACGCCGTGCCCGGCGAGAGGGGCGCTCAGGACAGCGAGCGACAGAATCTTCGAGGGCCGTGGAAGTTGAACACACAATATTTTATATTGTATGTTTGTATTTTATTCTAATGTTTACATTTTTAATTTATTTATTGTTGTAAGCCGCCCCGAGGCTTTGGCGAATGGGGCGGCATAAAAATGTTTTAATAAATAAATAAATAACAAGAGGTGGATGGGAAACGAGCAAAATAGAAACACTGGCGCACAGTAAAAGCACCAGCAGCGTGGTAGACGCACTGAGGGAGGGGCCCACGGAGGACGTCTCGCCCCAGGGCCTTCCCAGACTGGGAGTTTTGCTCCCAGGGCGTCCTGCACCAGGAGGATTCTGCTCCAAACTGGAGCACTTCTTTTCCAAACGGCGACACACGCTCCCGGAACGTACCACCCAGTTCCTGCTGCAGTCCTTGTGCCTGTCGGATGAGGTGCTTGATTGGGATCTGGTCCATCAGTGCAGAGGAGTAAGACTTGGGCTTTCTCTGCATGGCAGCTGAATGAGAGAGAGAAGAAAGGTGAGCTGAAAACTGACCAGAGCTGCCCTCAGTCCCACGACGACTGCATTACCCGGGAGAGGAAATTTCGGTCCTCGAGTCCAATCCCCGCTCGAGGCCGATTACAGCGTCCCTGGCAGGGGGCTGCCCTGCCCCTGCTTGAGGACCTCCTGCAAAGAGGGGCACACTGCCTTCCAAGGCAGCTGGCTCCACTGTCTAGCTCCTCCGACCCTTAGGAGGTTTTCCTGGCATTCACCCAAAACACGCCTTCCTGCAACGTAATCCCATCACGGCAGGTCCTGCTGCCTTGGATGGTGATAAGCAGCCGGCAGCCCTCTTCCGTGCCGTGTCCCCTCGGGCGCCAGAGAAGTGCCCCTGTACCTCCCCCGTCCTTCTCTCCTCAAGGCCAAGCAGTTCTTCAGTCTTCCCCCACGGGACCTAGATTCTAGTCTGCGCTTCGGTGCAAGCGCACTTCTTCAATTATTATTTGCCGCCTCGAGCTTGATAAAAATGGAGAGCTGGTGCGACCAAGCGGCCAGAGTGTTGGCCTGCAGGAGACCCCGCTCCGTGCCCCCGCTCGGCCATGAAGCGCGCCGGCAGGGCGGACTCTCAGGCTAACCTAGGGCCGTTGTGAGGATAAACTGCCGGAAGAGGAGGACGACGATCTAAGCCAGTTTGGGGGAAAGGGGCAGGAAAAAATGCTGGGATCTAAATGCCCTAAATGAATTTTTAAAACAACAAGGCGCACCCTTTTGCTCAAGGCACGGTCTGACTCACCGAGAGTTTTCGAGCTGGCCAAAATGGCCTCTTCGTAGGACAGAACATAATACAGGACCAGAAGTTGGGCCGTGATTCCGTAGCGCAGCTTCGGACGGGCACTCTCTCCTCCCTACCGATCACAAAGAGAAAGATGCGGAAGAGAGCCCAAGACAAGCATGGGAAGGCGTCTCTTCGCCAGGCCAGGAGAACGGCCCCGTGTATTCCGGCACTGCCTCCCTGGACCAGTGGCTGCTCTCCAAAGTCACTGGAGAGAACAGCACTTTTCCTGTCTCCTGCTAGCTGCTTTTTTTTTTTAATTGGAGATCAAAGTGGGGGTCCTCTACATACAGGGCATCTGCTCTGCCACTAGGTAGTGCCACAATATACTCAATGTGGCAACAGAAGCAGAAGAGGCGGAGAGCAGAGAAGCAGCTGTTAGCTTTCCAGTGAAACTGGCAGGCCTGTGTCATGAACGTCGTCTCTTCCCATCATGCCTAGGGATGGCCTGTGTCGTCTTCCTGCCCAAGACGAGTAACTATGATTAGGCGTAGGGCAAGGTAGGGAAATGTGACACGGGGCTGTTTTTTATCGCTGGTTTGGTACTCAGTTTAATATTTACTTCTAGCCAGAGAGATGGGGGAAAAGAAAGCGGGGAGAAGGCAGAGAGACAGCAAGAATTAGGAGCAAGCCTCATGCCACAAGTTGACAATAAAAGTGGGGTGAAAATGACGGCTCGATCCCAACCTATTAAGCAGAGGGATGGGTTAAAAAGCCCACCAACCGATCCGGCATGAAATACACACACAAACATGCCTAGCATGTTTATATATGTACAAATACCACCAGTTGCACACACAGGATCGCCGCCCCCCCGCCGCCCCCAGCACAGACTCATACCCCAGTTAGTCCTTCAAACACGGTCAGGATTTCCTGCTCGGTGATGGGTTGATTCGTGGCTTCGGGGTTGGATTTCGAGGCGGGCGTCAGGATGGAGTTGATGTAGACATCGATGAGCGGGAGCAGCTGCGGGTGGAGAGGGGTGGAGGTCTGGCACAGCTGCCTGTAAATCCAGTCCTTCGCGGGAAAACGGGAGGAAAGGGAGGAGGTCACATCCTGCGCCAACGGGCTGGAGCCATCACCCTGCGCGCACCTGAGCGGAAAAAGGGCCCGCGGCTCGTGGGCCGGCCGGACCGACGCACAGCCAGCAACGCCCGGCTTCCACCAGCAGCTGAGCTGCACGGCGGCCCGGGATTTCTACCCTTCGGGACACCAGCGAAGGCTTTGCGTGCAACGGCTGAGGGCCTGGTTACCTGAAGGAGCGTCTCCTTGCCTATGTGCCCGCCCACCCCTTCAGATCTGGGGCAGAGGCCCTTCTCTGGGTGCCCTCCCCGAAGGAGATCAGGAGGGTGGCTACCCAGGGAAGGGCCTTCTCTGTGGTGGCACCCCGACTGTGGAATTCGCTCCCCAGAAAGGTTCTCCTGGCACTGGCACTTTCTTCTTTTCAGCGCCAGGCTAAAACCCTTTTAGTCTCCCAGTGTTTTAAGATTTGATTGTTTTAATTGGGGTTTTATTGTTGGTTGGAAATGTTAAGATGCTGTGTTTCGTTTTCTTTTATATTGTCTTATTGTTAAACCTCCCCAAGAGCACGGAAAGGGATGGTCTAGGAAAGTTTAAACAAACTCCTTCCCGCTGCCCCACGCAGAGTTAAACTGTCCATCTTGTAGGGTCGCAGCAGGAATGCATTTCCCTCAAACTGACCCTCTTGCAGGGGGCACTGTGCTCACCTCAAAAGGGGGCTCACCACCCCTTCTCTTGAGTGGGGCCTCGGCCTCTGCCCTCAAGTCCTGTCTTTCTACACAGGCTGGGTGCAACTCAGGCAGGAGGCAATCCCAGCTGGATCAGGAGATGCTGGGATCGCACTGGCAACCTTCTATATGCAAGGCAAGGGCTCAGCCAATCAGGTACAGTCCCTCCCCAGGGAGCAGAGGAAACAGACACAGGCGTGAGCGTGTTGGCCCCCCCTCACTCTGCACCATCCACCCCCGCCTTCTCCAAGCTCTGGCTGGACTGAAACTCCCAGCAACCCTGGACAGTACAGCCAATGAGGAGGAGTCCCGAAAGGTGGGCACCCAAAGTCTGCTAGGGAAAGGCAACCTACACGGACTGGCAGCCGCTCTCCAGGTTTCCAGACAGGGGAGTCTTTCCCAGCCCAACCTGGGGAGATGGCAGGGGCTGAACCTGCAGCCTTCGACGGGGCAAGCAGGCGCACGGCCTTTGAATGGCAGGCCGGCCTTCCCTCCTAGGGCAACATCTGGCAGTGGCGGCCAGAGCAACCCACCTTGATGGAAACCTTGTGCTTGGTGAAGGATCGGCTCCGAAGAAGTTGGTAGATGCAGTGGATGGGCAGGAACCCCGTGATGTTGGCACTCAGGTTGCCTGTCACGGCCACGCGGACGGCGTGAGCCGTGACCACCTAGGACAGAGAGTCGTTAATCTGGCGACGCTTTGGAAAAAGAGCAGCCCATCAGCAAGAGCAGCTTGGTGTTGGGTGCAAGTGGAACTGCCTCGTTCTGCATGATGCCTCGTGCAGACACTTTTAAAAGTGTCCTCCTTCAGTCTTCTTGGGGCTAAACATACCCAGTTCCTTTGCCTTTCTCTGTAGGACTTCGTTTCAAGCCCCTGATCATCTTTGTCTCCCTTCTCCAATTTATCTAAATCTTTCTTAAAATGGGGTGCCCAGAACCGGACACAGTATGGGAGATGAGTCTAAAGAGGGGATTTTTTGGTCCCTACAACTTACAAACTACACTTGATTTGCTGCAAGCTAAAATACTTTCCCAGCACCATATTACAACATAGATTTCTGTCCTGGACCAAGAAAAAAACATAGGCCCCACACGGTGCCACCCCACACACCAGAACGACAAAAGTAGCGCAGAAGGAAGGTGTCTTGTGAGTAGGAAAGGTGGCACAAAAGGGGAGAGACAGTGGGTTGAACCAGGGCCAAGTCCACTTGGATCGGTAGCACTTAATCATCAGCAGCTAAGGACCTCTGATTTCAATGAGTCTGCTCTGGACCGAACTCAGTTCTGATCCAACCCGCTGGCTAGAAGCAGGAAGAAAGGAGAGGTGTGAGAAATTTGAAATGGTTCCCAGGAGGGGGGCAGCTTCAGAGAAAGCAGCGTAGAATGCAGACTCCGAAGCACCCAGGTTTGGGCCTCCAGCAGCGACAAACCCGGATCGTGGCCACGAGCAGAGCGGGCTCAGGGGCGCCGACAAATTACCTGTTCCGTGAAAATCTCCTGCGTGAAGATGGTCTTCATGCGACTCAAAGAACTAGGCTTAATGACAATCTGAAAGGAAGGTTGACAGGCGCTTAATGGGCGTTTGCTTCTTGCTACGGAGCAGGTTCCATCTCACGATCCACAGAGCAGGTTCTTATGAGCTGGGCAGATTGAGGGCCAAAGTATGCGTGTTTTGACTGAAAAACAGTCTGACAACTCAGGACCTTTTTTCTGTTTGAACAGAGGTCGGGTTGTACTCAGCCTCTCGGGAAATTTTGATTCAGAGCCTGAACACGAATACCTATTTCTGCAACATGTGGTCTTTGAAATCTTTCCCAGAAGGTTGCTCTATTTGCTTATTGCCACCAAAATACCAAGGCAACTTGTGGCAGCTTAAAGATGAATGGATTTATTCTGGCATATATTTTTGTGGACTAGCGCCTTACGCAGAGGCATGGAGCATTGTGGAGAATTCCAGGTTTCTCATGTACTATGCAAAATAACCCGAAACTTTCCATAAATCGGGCAGAGCGTGCCAGCTTGCCCAGAAACCGCTATCGAATCTTTTGCCAGGACATGTCAGAGACAGAACCTTCAAGTTCTGTGTCCAGGGCAGGGACTCAATGCCCAAACTGGGTGGGCTGTACTAGAAACTGGACAAGGGGGCTATTATAGTCCAAAACAAGCTTTCACATCATTCAGAAGCCAAAATAGTCTCCTGGCACCGTGCCAGATACATTACAGAAAACCTCATCTTGTATTATTTGTCGTTATTTGTTTTTCGGCGCCCGGCGAAGACCTTTTTATTTAAGCGGCATTTTAATTGTTAATATTATTGGATTTTATCTGGCCAGGGCGGCTTATTTTATATTAGTATTTTTGCATTTTAACTTAATGTTTGTATTTTTTAATTTAATGTTATAATTATTTTTTGACTTAACGGTGTAAGCCGCCCCGAGGCTTCGGCGAATGGGGCGGCATAAAAATGTTTTAATAGATAATAAATAAATATTAGTTAGACCCAACATCAGGGGGAATGGGCTTCAAACTGTCTTCAAGGAATTATATTCCTTAGATCAGGACTGCTTTGGCTGTAAGAAGCTAAACTGTTTGCTGCACTGAAGCATTATGTCCCTCACCAACCAAATCAGGAAGAGACAGCCAACTTGGGGACATAGATGGGAGGGGATACCCCTCTATGGGATCCATAGGTTATTAGCATGGGCCACACAATAGCTGCTATACCTGAAGCAGGGCCTCCTCTGTGGTGGCGCCCAGATTATGGAATGCGCTCCCCGGAGAGGTGCGCCCAGCACCGAGTTTATATTCTTTTCAGTGCCGGGTTAAAACCTTTTTATTTAATTGCTATTTTAAAAACTAGTATTTTATCATTGAACAGTTGCCGTCTTCATTTTCTGTTTTTTGCCTTTATGTAATCTTTTATTGAATTTGTTATTTATAAAGATCATTTTATTGTATTTTAATTGTATGTATTCTGAGCCATCCTGAGATGCCAAGGCATGTGGTGACGGCATACAGAAGTTGTTATTTTTTATATCTGCAATCCTGTTCATAGAAATCTGGACTCATCCGAATACCCAACGTTTTAACTCACAAGAAACAGGTGCCTACCTTCATGCCCAGAGTCGAGCAGACCAGGTCAATGATTGCACTGAGCTGGTTGCTATGGAAATACATAGCAACGAGTAACAGCATCTCTCCAAAGGAAGCGGACACTCCAGACGTGCTGTCGGAAGAGAAGACAAGAGGATAAGAGAGAGTTTGGGAACCCTGGAAGCAGCCTTCTCCGGATCCATCTTAAGCCATCTGTTTGCGGCTGCCCCCCAGGATGGAATTTCTCCGACAGGAGTTTTTCCAGGGACTGAAGCTGGGACCATCTGCTTGGAATCGGGGGCTCTGCCGCCGAGCCACGGTCCCTCCCACAGATCTTCTGATGCCAACGCTCAAAAGGGAAGGTGGGGAGACGAGGGAGCTGCCCTGATGTCCCAGGGACAAGCAAGGGGAAGCGCACGCTCTCACCTTTCGAAATAAGCCTCTTCTTTGATCATCCAGCTCAGCCACATCACCATCAGCTGCTCCTGCTCTGGTGTGCTGAAAAGAGACCCGCGTTAGAGCGGTGGGCCAGGAGACTGCAGAGAACAGCCTTCGAGCACCCTGGCGTTTGTATTGTTAAAAAGACAGGAGGGCCCTGCACAATGCACAATGCCCCTTTGTCGCCTCCCCTTTGTGTGACAGAGCAAACTAAGATGCCTCTGTTAACCACCGTTCCCCATCGCCCCCAAAATGAGAAGCTACAAATGCCAGTGCAGCCTAGTAATTAGAGTGCTGGAACTGGAACTTGGGAGACAGGGCTTGAGTCCCCACTTAGCGCTAAAGCTCCCTGGGTGACTTTGGACCAGGCCCTGACTCTGCCTAGCCTACCTCACAGGACTGTTGTCCTAACCTACCACACAGGGTTGTGGTGAGGTTAAAAAATGGAGAAGCCACTTGGGATCCTTACAAGAAGGAAAAAGGTGGGATATAAATGTAACCATAGATAGATCCATGAGCAGGTGTCTTCAGAACAAACCAGGATAGGATGCCATGGTTTGAAGCTGCAGTAATGCCATCTAAGCTTGTTCCAAAGTCACTGAACACAGCTTCCCAATCTGAACAAGGAGCTCTTTGTTCATTCCCACTGGGAAGGAAGAGGCAGAGACTGTGCGCCACATTAGATCGTTCAACCAGTCAGTGTCCGTCAACAGATTGACTCAACAGACCTCACGTTAAAAAAGGATGCATCTTTTTAAGCGCAGAAGTAAACTCCGAGATGAAATATCGCTCTTCTCAATGGCAGAAAACCCACTCATTTAAATATATGCTAATTCAGGGTCATCTCCCCGCTCATTCCTGCTGAAGATGCTTATTGATGGAGGAAATTATTATGGCATCCACAGGTCCTGCGGTCTCACAATGGGAAGCCCAGGTGGGACCGGCATCGCTCCGCAATAAAGCTTAGTTCGTGAATGGCCTTTCTGCCCTCGCCTTGCTTTTCCGGAAGAAAAGGCCCGTTCCAGTGGGGATATAAGGGTACCTGACAAGCGTGGAGAAGGCCAGCAGCATGCAGAAGGAAAGCGAAACGAAGCGGACGCCGGCTGGCGTGGCAGGGGGCCGGCTGGTCATGAGCTGCAGGAGCTGCTCGGCTTCCTCGTCGGTCGGCCTGGACACCAACAAGACACAAGGGAATCCATCTTCTGACAGGGAGAGGCCACATTTTTCCTTGATGGGGGGAAGCGCCCCTGATCAGCCACAACTTCCAGGCGCAAGGTTGACAACTCAATGTGTCCGTGGCCCGGACGGATCGTGCGAGTGTGAACATTTTGTGCCACGGTCCACACAGGCAGAAGGGACAGAGGAACGTGGAAAAGGCCAGCCTAGGTGCCTTGCCTGGAAGTGCACAGGCAGGGTGTGAAAGCAAGGGCTCTCTCCACCCATGTTCCTGAGCACCTGGCATTCAGAGGCACGGGGTTTCTAATACTGGAAGCCACGTCTAGCTATCAGGATGAGCAACCTTCTCCTCCGCCATTTTTGGTGGCCCTCATAATGTCTTGCGGTAGCAAAATATAGGCAAGCCACCGTGGAGCCTGGTTTGACCGAGAAGGGTGTAGAAAGGCTTCAAATAGACGAACGGAGGACTCCGGTTCACAAGCGGGGACGGCGAGGCCCGACAAAGGAGGCCGAAAGGCACTTACTTCAGGCCTGCGATCCCCATCAAGGCGCAATAGAGGCGGAGGAGGGCGCTGGCTTCGACCACGTGTTCCTCCTTCAGCCCCGAGTACACCGAGACGTTGGGCTCCATGTCCGCCTCCGCTTCCTCCCGGATGTGCATGCTGCGGACGGTGGGAAGGATTCCCATCAGCTCCAGAAGCAGCTGCCGCCTCATCTGCCAAAGCACGGAGCCCAGGTTCTCCCTCTTCCTCTGTGCAGGGGAAAGGCGGGAAGGGAAGCGGGAGCGTGGGCACCTGGTTCTTGTGCCCACGCTCCGAACAGAGCAGAGGGTTGCACGTTCCACGCCGCTTCCACGTCAAGGTCCTTTCCTTTTACAGCACAATTGTGCCACGGACCTCTCGCGTATAAAACAAGTATCTTCTCTGGTTGAAGGGCCACCACGCAAAAATATATTTCTATTACTGCAGGCAATTCGCTCACTACAGCCCGTCATGCACCGTTTTCATTCACTGCATCATCAACGATGCCGACCCTCTGCATGTTCAGACAGAGATTATACAACGTCCAGCATTCTGGCTGGGGAAGGCCAGGAGTTGCAGTGCTCCTCTCTCGCAGTGCGCCTGGGATTGGTACCTAAAGAGCTACCCCGAGCTTACGGTAGGCTGCAGACCGTGCTCAAGCATGACCTCTGCCCCAAGCAAACTAGGCTTCAGGTGGCCGATTCGTTTTTCTTGTGTATGGATTATGTTTGCATACCACCCAAGAGCTAAAGATTTTGTTCACTGTCTTCTCTTTGCACCAGCAGAAGTCCGTCTTTAGGGACGTTTTGACTCCCACCTTCCAGCATCAAGCCAAAACCACACTTCTGGCATGTGAGGCACGGATCTTTGTGTTAAAGCAAAAGAAGCGTGGCTACCGCAAATCACGATTAAACTTTAGACCCATGTGGGGCCTACGTAGCTTTTAGTATTCCAGAGGCATTCACACATGCCCACATTCAAAATAAGACAACACCCTTTTTCTCCCGAGTGTAAACCGTTTAAAACACCGACTATACCTTTTCATGTTATGTACAGAGAGATAAGTATTTAAGGAGCCACTCAACAAACTGGCCCAGTTGGGACATTATAAGCCACCCCAATTGCTGCTTTTCATGGTAGAAAGATGGGGTACAAATCAAATCATCTGTCAGTGTTGCTAAACCTCAGGATTCCTGCCATCCCTCCAGAGATGGGAAGCTTTCTCTTGCACTGTTTAATTCCCCGTGGTTGACATTACAATTCTCACAGCCTGTGCTGCTTGAGAACTGTGCTTCAAGGGAAAAAATGCCGACGTTGACGTGTGGATTGCGTTCTCGCTTTCCTTAAACCACATTTAACACAAACCACCATTCTCAAAGCCAGATGAAGCCATCCTGGGTGCCGGTTTTGGGTGGCAAGACGGGGTACCGCCCCAATAAGCATGCAAACAAGTAATTGCTATGAGCAGAGCACGGATGCTTGGAGTTCTGCTCGCCACTTCTTGGCCACACGGGAAGCGCCTTCTGTCCCACTGAACCACAGCGCCCCGTTCCTGCCATCCTGCCTCTTCCCAGACTGCCTGTCGGACACTCTCACCTGCTGCCCGTTCCGGATAAAGGTCCCAAACCAAGTCCGGACCTTGGCATTGGTCCCGAGCAACAAGCCACTCACGAAGCACACCAGGTCGCTGACGCCATCCTCCAAAGCCTCGCTCTTGGTGTGATCCAAGGTCAGAGCCACCCCAAGCCCAGGCAGATGGCACTCTTCCACCTGGTCCATGAGGGAGGAGAAGAGAAAGGAAATGCAGCTGCTCGTTTACGAGAGCTCCGGAGGGGTATGGCACCCCCACAGGCCTGCACGGGAGGGGCTGCAGACGGCTGAGCTCCCCCACACAGAGGCCGCCTCCTTCTGTGCAGACCTTTGTTCTATTCCGGAGCCCTGTGACAGCCGGAACCCCACCGGATCAGACTGGAGGGCCAGCTAGATGCCCTCGGGAAGCCCCAAGGAAGACATGAGGGCAGAGGAGACTCTCCTGCCATTGGGTTCAGCAACTGGCACACAAATACTGGAGGTAAGAAGTAGCCTGGAGGACTAGCAGCTGTTCACAGCCCCGTCCTCCACAATCATGGCTGATGCTCTTTTAACGGAGCCCGAGTCAGACTTCTGTATGGGCTGCACCCTTTCCTCCAGCTTCGCAGAAATAAGTCAAGCAACGTCCAGCTGCGATTACTAATACTACTACTCTAATAGTAGTATTTTATTTTATTTATTTTATTCTACTGTATATATTTTAATGGTTATTGTTTTAATTTATTGTGTATTTTATTCTATGTTGTGAGCCGCCCCGAGGCTTCGGCAAGGGGCGGCATAGAAATGTTTTAATAAATAAATAAAATAGATAGATAGATACATCCCAGAAGCAGAAGCAGGCCTTCCCAGCAGCCAGCATCTCCCCCACCTTGCAACGGGCAGCCTCGAGACCTACCACCATGCCCCGGACTCGCAGCGCCTGCGAAGGGTTCATCTTGCAAAGCTGGCGAAGGGCCTCTGTCCTGCGGCGGCCTCCAAAGCTTTCCTCGTCTTGCCGCTCGCCGTTCTTGATCAAGCCCCTGCACACTAGGAATCAGCCAGAAATCGGGGAAGGGGACGAGGGGAGTTCATCCATCATCGGTAATTTGTTCCCACCACTGAGAGAGAATCCTGCTTCTTCACACACCTGTTTCTTTCTAAACTTTATTATGCCGCAGCAGAGTTTTCCACCAGTCAGTTTTTATCTTTAAATGCTTCAGTAAGAATATAGCCTCTCCCAACAAAATGATACCATCATGACTCCCAAATGAGAAAGGGGCTTGCTTCTGCTGCTCTCATCCTACATTCGTGTCAGAGTAAGCACCATGCTATTGCAGAAAAAAATAATGTATTTCGAAGTAAAAATCTGGGCTGTTCCAGATTAAAAATCCTAACATGGAATGCTAAATTGGACTAGAAGGCCTGACAGAAAGCATGGCCCATAGGCAGCCAAACGACAAACTAACAGAACCATTTTACCGATTTTAAAAACACTCCCACTCCAACTTAAAATCAGAATCCCACCAAGGCTAAACCAGATTAGATTGTGAACCATGTTCTTTAGAACTCCCTTACCCACAAGACTCTTTTACCTTAGACTGCTTTCTCCCCAACCCCCTTCATCTTTTTTTCTAAACTTGCACAGTACTTCTCCCCTGGAAGCCTGCAGACCCTCCCCTTTGATGAGCAGGGAGCTGTGATTTGCCCAGGCCGGGATCCACGCTCAGAAAATGAGTTAAATACAAGCAGCGCTGCAAGGTACCTTCGTTAAAGCTGTCTGGCACATTAGCCACCAGGAGGCAGAGGAACCAAGCCCCGTTCTTCACGTGCAGCAGTGCTTCCGCAACGTCCACAATCGGTAACAGCGAAGGAAGCTCTGAAGGGAAAGGATGCTAAGGTAGTAACAGCCCGCAAGACGAAGACTCCGTATCTCAAGAATGCTGTTCGCCTGCCTGTCCAGAGAGACTGTCCGGTCTGGTTCCTGGTTTTCGAGGGCGCTTGGGCAAGACAGATGGGGTGAGTGCCGCCCTCAGGGGGTCGGCCTCCTTATTCCCACTCTCAGCAGCTGCTCTTTTTCCTCCGCATCTTTCCCTCCGTGGCTGTCAGTCGCGTGTGAGGAAGTCTGCCAGGGCATGTCCTGTGCTTCCCACCACTGCCAGTGCCTTGAAAGAGCAAGAGACAGGAGGGCGAGCGGCTTGCGGGGACAAAGAGGAGCAGCAAGCCCAGGAAGCGCTTGCTAAGAGGCTCTTGGCAAAGGCCTGGCCACTCTGTCTTGACGCCACCCTGGCTGCCAGGGGGAGGCTTCCTCCCAGGGGACCACAACTGGGGTGGAAAGGGCGGCTCAATCCCTGCTCTGACGACATTGTTTATCGGCCTCCACCCCTGATGCAAACGACATTCGGTTCCAGGAAGGTGGGAGAGAAAGCAAAGATAGGAGAAAGGCCCTGTCTAGAAAGGAAGTGCAAGGGGCCCCTTCTATCGGCCCCCACCATCTTTGGCCTGTCCTCCAACGGACACGGGAAACACCCACTTGTTTGGGTCACTGGATGACGAACAGGGAGATAGTATTCTTCATTATTTTCTTCCTGGAACAAACTCCAGGTTGTTTACACCGCCTTTCTGCTCTAAATTTAATCCTCGGAGCAACCACATGGTGGTTTCTTATGCAGGTTTAGGCAGGGAAAAAGTCGTGTAACTCCTAGCATGCCCCAGCCAGTCATGGGTTATCTGAGGCATTCTAGGGATTGTAGGACCTGTTCTTCTATCTGAACTGGTATTGCGCTGTACCTTGAACTGCTGTGATCCAACACCCCACTTCCACAGAAATCCAAGACTTTATTCTACAGTAAAAACAAGCCTACCATTTGCCTCACAGTAAGCCTTGGGAACAACGTTAGGTTCCTAATATTCACGGGGAACAACATGAATCTGGGATACCATGAGATTCATCTGTGCTTATGTGAAATCACACAAGCCTGGAACAAGAACAGATGGTGCTTGTGCTTGAGGAGCAAATGAAGAGACAAACTCTGAAGAACACAGACCTGCCTGCAAGATGCAGAGGACATCAGCAGCTTCTTCCAAGTAGACAGGGCTCTCAAACAACTCCGGAGACTTGAAAAAAAATTCGCCATTGGAGTCTGACACCTGCAATGAGAAACTGTCTTGAGTGGGCATTTTAAACATCACTAACAAACGAACAAGAGAACAGCTGGCTTTTTTTCGCAGGCCTAAAAAGAGACGACCACAGGTAGTAGTGATTGATACAGCGTCCTCCTGGAATTTGGCAAACTCGCTTTTAAAGCCAGCCAAATTGGTGGCAGTCGTTACACCTCAAAGGAGTGGATCCCAAAGCTTAATTTGGTGCTGTATGAAAAAGTACTTCCTTTGATCTGTCCTTAATCCCCCCCATAAGCAGCTTCATGGAACGATCCCACTGGATTCCGGCATTATGAAGAATAGATGAAAAAAGTTCCTTTTTCACTTTCTCTACAACATGTGTAGGAGCAAGGGGGAACTAGATCAAATTGAGCCTGAACTTGCCTTGAAGTACAAATGACAAAGCGGATGCACAAAACATCCTCTCTCTGCTCACCCACCAATTTTTCAGTTTAAACATCCCGCATGTAGTAACCTTTCCTCACACAGCTGCCCCAGCAGCTCGGTCATTTCAGTTGCCCTTCGCTGTCAATTTCTGAACGATACAATACCCTTTTCTAAATTCAGTGACCAGAACTGTACACAATATTCTAAATGTGGCTGCACCATATATTCGTGTCAAGGAAGCATGATATAGGCAGTTTTATTTTCAATTCCTTTCTCATCATGCCTAACATGGAGTGTGTCTTTTTCACACCAGCTGCAAGCTAGACGAACTTTTCCGTGCTCCAAACCCCCAGAACTCTTTTTCTTGCCGGCTCAGATCTCATCAGCCTTTTTGCCTCATTACATATATAACTTCAAAACACTAGAACACTTCTCCAGTCCTTGAGATGCATTTGACTTCAGCTCCCATCATTCCCTGCCAACATGACAAATATTGGGGTTGGGGAAGGCTGCATTAGGGAGCTCTTTTACAAATGAAGTGGAGCCCGGGGGGGGGGGGGGAACCCACTCACCTTGTTCATGATTGCCAGCAATTCACTAAGCACCAAACGCAGCCGGCGAGGGGAATCGCTGTGTTCAAACTCCAGTGTCAGGCCGTGCTGCAGCTGGGACACCAAGATACTCTCACTGGTACCACCGCCAATTTTGTGCCTGAAGAGAGGATGAAAGCAGGCTGTGAGAACATGTCTTACCTGCAAGCTAAAACAGGTTGTGACCAGGTTGTGGAAGGTCACCCAAGCAGAATCCAACCAAGATGGTCAGCCTGGTACATAACAGGTTGCGTGAAACACAAGAAGTAATCCAAAAAGGTTAACGCAATACAGTAAAACTATTATCCAGCAGCTGCAATAAAAGACAGCAATGCAATTTGAAGTTATAATTTCAGTTATGAAGGCACACTGAAAAGTTATTTTAAAAGCCTTCATAAAAAGACACATCCTAAGGGGAACATGCCAAGGTTCACTCTTGTTTGATGACTGGGCTCTTCAACATGGTACCCACCAGGTTCCAATCCTCTCTTGGTTTTTATTTCATTTCTTACAATGTTTTCTTTTAATTAAAAATATTCTGATGGCCCTGATGGCTGAAGATGCAAGGAGCTGTAGTCCAAGGCACCAAACTGGAAAGGGTGACCTATACTGAGTACAGTTTGTCTCCCGAGAAGTTTTTTTGTTTTCCTTTTTTATTCAAGATTTTGAATGTTCTTCGAGCGACTTCTGTCAACATGCACAGGGAAGCAGGCTAGCAAAGATCCGTGTGGGCTCTTTGCAGTGCTGATTAATGCGTTTGAACGTGGCTTACCTAAGCTGTTGCTCTTTGTTGGCATCCTGCTCCAATGCGTGGAAGTCCACAGAAAGCAAGGCCACAATGGAGTTGACAGCCTCTACTCCCGAAAGCAGGCGGAGGATCAGCTTTTTGTCCTGAGCCCAGCTTTGGCTCTGGTCAGCGGGTGCACACAAGGCCATCCGGACCAAGCAAGGTAGCAACAGCCGGAGCTCCGGGTCACTTAGCGCTGCTAAACGGACGACATCCACCTTCTGCATGGCTTCAAAAGCATAAGGGCTCACAAACTGAAGCGTCGCACAGTCTGCCATTTTGTGAGGCACCTCAGAAACCAGAACAACAGAAGGAGCCGGAAGTCAACGGAATGGCTGCTGGGTCAGTGCTGCACAGACAGGAAGGCGGCGATCCAAAATTCCATAGAAGTGGCTACAGCAACAAGTGCGCAGTTAGCCATCGGGATTAGGGGCTTTTCGCAGCTTGAGCTTTCCCATGAAGAAACCTGATGCAATGAGCATATTAAAAAAAGAAAGCAACACGTGTATATGAGCACAGACTGCAGCTCAACTTGTGGATAAACCAAGTTAAGATCACAGCCATACACTCTGTAACCACTAAGGAATATTAGAGAATAAACACGTGACATGAATAAGGCACCTAACCTAAGAAATCTTGACAAAAGAAGAAGCAAGCAAGCGCTCCAGCTACTCCAGAACTTCCTCCTCAGAAGGAGTCCGCCACATGACCCTCAATGCTCCTGTCCATAGCCCATTCATGCAGAGGGTTCCCAGTCTCAGTCCTATGAAACTAGCCATTTTAACCTTCCATGAAATCCATCTCTCTTGCGCACATAGATATTTTTCTTCTAAGTGGCAGCCTTTTTACACTGTAGTTTCTCCAACGGGGGTGCAAAGGGCTGCCCCAATCCCACTGACAGGGGCAGCGGAAGAAGGCAAGAAAAGAAGGCAAAGACTGGGAGAAACAGAACGCCGCCGTGGTTCGAAGTGCCGCACCAGAACGAGCGAGAACCAGCTTCAAATACCCACCGAACCATGGACCCCACCGGGCGACCTCGGCCCAGTCGCGCTCCCTCAGCCTGGCCCACCTCGCAGGGCTGTTGTAAGGATAAAGCGGTGTGGGACTGACTCACATTTGCCCCGCGCTCTTTGCACGCGAAGGATGTCACATGCAAACCGATATAAACGGAGGTGGGGGGAGGAACAGCAAGGAAGCGCGGCGGGAGGGAAGGGGCCGCCACCCTCCGAAGGACCCAGGCGTCCGAGTCGCACTGCCCTCGCTCCCATGCGGAAGCAACCGGAATTCGGGGCCTCCCCGACCCCTTCGTGGGACGGGCGGGAAAACGGCCGCCCGCCCAACGCGCCGCGCCGCGCCGCGGAATTTCTCCACACACCGAGCCGGACACACACAAACCCCGTCAAGAAGCACACTTCCGGCGGGGGACGTCACTTCCGCCCATGTGACACAGCGAGGCGCCGGGGTAAGCTTCCGGTGAGGGAAGCGATGCCGGCAAGGCCCCGCCCCTCTGAGGGCGGAAGTGGCTTCCTCCGCGCTCTGACCCACTTCCGCCCGGACATGGGCGGTACGCAAGGCGATGGCCAACCTTCCGTTACTATATTCACGCCCGTTATCATTGCTATCCGTTCTCAAGCTTATTTTCCCCGCCCTTTTCTTCACTTATTGAACAAAACGAAATTCCAAGGCGCTTCTGCCCAGTGCAACCACAGTAGTTTTCCCAAAGTGCATCAAAAGACGATTAAAGACTGGGAGCAGAGTGCAGCTTGTCATTAGAAATTGCAAGTCATTTTCTTTCTAGTAAGAAAATTGAATACGTTGGATCAAGAAATCGCATCAATGCAGTGTCACCGGTTCGGGGAGCTGAGGTCTCTCCCAAGCTAACCTTTTCCTCCTTGTCGTTCAAGACATCCAGAAGGCAGCAGGTTAAGGTTGGAGAGCTGGGTTGGTCCAAAGGACCAGCTCTGCCTCTGAAACGCCATACGTGACTTTGGACCAGTAAGTATCCTACCTCACTGGTGTTGATCAAAGGAGATTTATGCAGCTTGGGCTCCCTGTAGGTTGCTAGAATATAGACGTAATACAATAAAGAATTCCACACCAAGAATATCTGTGTTTTTCAAGGCCTGTTGGAAAAGGGTTTTTTCCCCTCCTTTCTTTCTAAACAAAAAGACATCACAACAATGATGGAAGGCTTCATGAATCATTTATTTCATTTGATTTTTTTTTTAATTATAAACCATTTTTTTCATGTCCTCGATCACAATTTGTACAACCCCCGTGTTTATGGCATTCTGCAACAATAAGGTTTGTTCCTTTTTATTCTCTGTTTATAGTGTTAAATAAAGCGAGAGAGAATGAATTGGGCCATCCAATGTTGCTGTTGCGTACAAACTTAAGAACTCTGCTCCCCCACCATTAAAGTGACCCTGCTTTTTCTTATTTTTTTTAACCTTTATGAAACTGACATAGCCAGTCGTGACGCCGCACCTTCGAAACCCAAGGCGGCATTTTCCATCAAGATTCTCTGCTCCCGTTTATTTGGAAATTCTACTACTATACACTAAAACTTTCCTGAAAGTGTGCCCCTGAGGATGATGAGAATGAGAATTTTTCTTTCAATGGAATGTTTACCCTTTTAAAAATAGGTGCAATAAAGGAATATTCTACATGTGATTCAGGGTCCTTGTTTAATTTTTGACTGAAATAATTTTCAAGGTGTAACATCTTAGAATCATAGAAGAGTAGGAAGGGGCCTCTAAGGCCATCAAGTCCAACTCCCTGCTCACTGCAGGACCACACATTAAACCATCCCGCTCAGATGGTTCTCCAACTAACCCCTGAATCCCTCCAGTGTGGGTGCACCCACAACCTTCCTAGGTCATTGGCTCCACTGTCTGTCACCTTGAGAAACCACGTCAAGGCAGCTAACAGCATAATTTATTTTTATTTTCGATTTTATTTTCCGATTTATATCCTGCCTTTTTCCAACAAAGGGCTCAAGGCAGCTGACATCATTCTCCTCCTCCATCTTATCCCCACAACAACAGCCCTGTGAGGTAGGTTGGGCTGAGAGTCTGTGACTGGCCCAAAGTCACCCAGTTGGCTCCATGGCTGAGCGGGGACTCAAACCCACGTCGTCTGAGTCCCAGTCCCACGCTCCTAACCACTAACTTGAGCAACCAAACTGACAAGAAGGAAAAACCAAGCCCAAGAGTCGCAAAGCTTAACATTAACCAAGTATGTTGCACCAACGAAAGCCACACAGCAAGCTGCAGGCCGCCACAGCATCAAGGATGAAAAGCCAAGCCTATTCAAAGAATGCAATGTATTCTGATAACTCTGCTTAGAAGAAATGCTTCACCTGCAAACTTGCCATTGTAATGTAGGACTTTGTAAACAGTTACAAGAAACTGGAAAATTCCAAAACCAAGTAATACAGAATAATACTTAGCTGTGTCACGCACAGGAGCAAGATGTGAGATATAAGAAACTTAAATCTAGGAAGGATGTGTATCCAATGCAGCAAAACATGAAGGCAAGCAATTTGATCAAGTTACACTTCACCCTGGTTAGAGAAATTCTGGAAATTTTAGTGCCAGGTCTACCTTCTGGTCATTACTGTGAAGGATGCTACCAACCCACAAACTATAAATTCAGCACTACCAATTAATAAAGTAGTCAATGAGACCTAGCAGCTTTGTCCTCTGCATAATGATGCCCACAAAACGTCAAACTGAGGGAAGTGGGGGTAGAATACTTATGACATCTTACTCTGAACAGCTTCTGGGATGGTGATTTGGCATTCTGAAGTCTACGGTTTTGCAAGTTAAACCAACAGTGAGACTCTTTAACAGTAACACAGACTTATCAGTCAAGTCAAAATGGTTTCCCACACGGATGTCCACACAGCTTGAGCCCAGATGGGGCAAAACAGAAAAACAAGGGAAGAAGGAACAGGCAGGAGAAAGCAAGAGGAGATGCCTCTTAATTATTGCTACTACAGCCCAACGTGGATCAGGTAAAAAGACACAAGATGATGTTGTGCGTTACACTTTAGCGGGCTTTCTTGCAGTTGTTCTTTGCTGTTTTTGAGTAAGAAGGGCCCAGGCCTTTATCAAAGAGTTTTCTCTTCCAAAGTAGAGGTCCTCCCCCTCGCCACTTCCTCGAGTCTAGACCAGACTGGCCACTCACCCCAATATACCTCAGATGTCCTCATGGCCAAGGGTTTACAGGACTGTACTCTCTAGCGCCGGTCTTCCCACCACCCTGCAACGATCATTTCAACAGCCAACCAGCCCAATTTTGTGAGCCGCCCCGAGGCTTTGTTGCAATGGGGCGGCATAGAAATGTTTTAAATAAATAAATGAATGAATGTCTGAGCAACCTGATCTTAGAGAGGAGACTTACCAGGCCCAGGCAGCAACACACAAAGCATCCCGGGTTTTAAGTTCACCTTGTTAAAAGAAACTTAAAGCATTTGAAGATTTCTGCACAAGAAAGCGTGTTGTGTGGAGATCCCAGTAAATCATTCTGCAGCCCTATGGAAGTCAGAAAAGTTAAGCTCAGGACTCACGGCTGGGACATACAAATGGTATACTTACAACAGACTGCACAATAATACATCAGGTACCACTTAACCGGCTAAAATGTGAATGTTTTCAGATCACATTGATTTACAAAGGAGAATGTAAGCATTTATACCTTAGGTTCTCCCACTGAAATCATGTGAGTTGTTAACTTTGGCTGCATTGTATTCTATATTTACACTTTAGAAATTGCTTTAGTACAATTTCAGGATGGGAAAACAGAGGCCTCTGAAGAGTATCTCCTGTTTATGGAAACTTGAATCCCCGAAGTGGATGGTCAGCACAGGCGAGAACACCCACAGGAATGCAATCAACAGCAACCCAGGATATTTTAAAGATTTATTTGGCTACGTGATGCTTATTGAAAAACACACTGATTCCAGCTTGAGAGGATATGGATCACCTAGAAAAGGCTCACCTGTTAAAAAAATATGTCTGATCACAGCTGTACTTTCCACATTGTTACTGTTAGCCCATCAAAAGGTGAACAATTCCCGGTGTGCAATGGTATCAAAAGATGCTGTTTTCTGAATGTCCATCTACAATTTTGAAGCAAGGAGAAACCTTGTTGCCCACCCAGGGGAATGCACAAGTACCAGGTTTATCACCATCACCGCAGCATCCCGTAAAATAACTCCCGTTTCTTCACAGAAAAAGGTGATACCTTCATGGTTAAGTTCTCTGTATTTCACATGATTCCATAAAGATTCTGAATTTCATCCAATGTGAATACTTGCAAGTTTTGTGACTTTGTTAAGAAACAAACCCAGTATTACTAAAGAGAGTCTAAACAATTCCGAGTACAAAACCAACCTGAATATTCTGTACTACAATCTCTATTCATTAACTGTGACTTGCACAGGGCCCCCGGAAAAATAGAAGCAGGCTGAAAATGATTTTGCCTCAGTCTGTGACTTGTGCAGCTCAAAAGATTTTCTCAACCAGAGTCTCTTTGTTGCTCAACGTAACATAGCTAAGGTGAGCCAAGTACTTACAAGAAGCTGATGGTGGCAGGAGTTATCTTTCTACAGCCACGCTTACCCACGTGGGTACCTGTCCTTGCTTCCATATTTGCTGATGGAACAAGGCAAGAAAGCATCTTCAAGTAGACACGTCAGTGAGAATGCGAAAATTAAGTACAGGGCTCATTCGGAGAACTGCCAGGGAAGTGCCCGTGGGTTTCATGCTCCTCCTTGTTGGTGTTTTCATATTCTAGAACCTAGATGCTTATTTAAAAGGGAAAAGGTCATGCATACGTGAGCCTGGCATGCCCACCACAAAGCGCCAGACTGAGCAGACACGGAAACAAGAAACTGGGGGAGGATGAAGAAGCAAGAGAGAGAATACTGTTCTCTAGTTAGTGAAGCCAGATCGCAACCCCAGAATGTATAGACAATCTGTTTAAATCCTATTTCAGTGACACCTGTCTTTAGAAGTCAAAAATCAATCTGGGTTTTCTTGCCCTGTGGTTTTTTTTAGCACTTGCAGGTGGCTAGAGATGGACTAGAGTTTTAGTCTCACAGAGAGACGCAAAGGGTGCCGCTCCACCAAAGAACTGGTCATTCACGCACTGAGAAATCCCATTTGGTCTTAGTGATGAACACAAAAATACTTGGTGAAAGTGAGAGAGTTTATTGAAGGGAAGGGTGTTTTGAAAAAAGACGTGTTGTGATTTCATCGGGCGACGCAGATTCTCTCTTGGCTAAAACGCACACGCAGAGCAGCAGATTTCTCTGCAGGAAGTGTTTCCCCCTTCCTTGAAAACTGGGGACGGGCCTGAAAAAAACTAGTCTCGGCCCTCAACAAAAATACAAAAAAAAAATTAAAACAATTAATTATTAATTATTATTATTATTCTTTTTTTTAAAATTCTCACTACAAGTTAAACCACCTAACAATATCACTTTTTAATATATTGCCATTATGTTAACTCTGCAAAGGTGTGATATAAAATTGCTGTAAGACCCGGTACCTTTTTTTTTCTTCAATTTTATATAAACACAGTGAACTTCGTTACTGTACACGTATAATCTGCAACTACAGCTTAGCTGTAAATCTCCCACACACAATGGTATGGACATTTATATCCCTCCCTCCCCACCTCCTATATTCCCCATTAAACTGTACATCAAGACCAAATACAAATTTTTACTGTCCCCTCCCGCAACCCCCTTACAAAAAAATAATACTCTAAAAGCAACCTACCGCAACTTTCAATTAAGACGATTACATATATATTTTTAGACCAATTGCTTTAAAGCAAGAAGGCAGTATAAACCTTCTAGGAATTTTTTTTATAAAAGAGGTTAAGAAATATAAGACAATTTATACATTTAAAAACTTACAATAAATAAGAGATGCAGGCATTTTTTTTGAATACTAGGTACTATAATTCAATACAAGAACATTGCAGTGTTCCGAAAGCGTTCGAAAAATTCTGTTTTTACTCCCTCATTGTGTCTTCTTATTGTCTCCATGCTTTTTCTTTTTAAAATATTCATTAAACATGGCTGGGGCCTATGGCTCATATACTCTTCACAAATACTGTGGCAGGGTGTAGGGAGGGGGGGCAGGAGAATGGATACTTTGCTACTAAGAGGCATTATAATACATTTGACCAACCAATTCACCACCTTAATCAGTCTGGTATAGGCAACGCAACAAGAAAAAAATGGGGGGGGGGCCACCCGCAGGGCTGCGCACCCCCCAAAGTCAAAACCAAATTTTTGTTGGAAAGGATCCAAAGTGACAACCCCAACCCCATCGTAAAATGACGCGTACAGAGAAGAATCAGCTCAGTCCTGCAGTGGAATCCTCCTTTCCCCTTTGGCTGCGGTTGTTGCTGTTGTGTTTTCCTTCCTGCTCAGTTCAGATAAAGATCACAGCATATTCATGATAAAGTTATACAACTGATTCAGCACCACAAAGTGAACTGGGAGACACGACCGCCGGTCCTGAGTCGCGGGATCACAGGTTAGCCAGGACAGCGCATTGTACTGTTCCAACACAAACCTGGAACCAGAAGACGACGGAATCAGAACCCAGAGTGCATTAGAGAGCAAGATCTTCCATTTTCAGAATAGCTCATAGGACACTTCTCTCCGCAAAGGAGCTTAGCAACACGAACGGCAAAAACACTTTATTTCTGGCAACCCACTGCCAATTGCGGGCAAGCTCTGTATGCGTGTGGGAATTTTAAGATCTCTGTTGATAGTTATGTTTGGAACTCCAAGCATGTGCCTTGAGACAAGACAGTCGTATTAATGGGTCGCTGTTAAGCTGTCTAGAATTCAAGATTATTATCCGTGTTGACAAGCTCTTCTTGTTTATTTCAAAACTTCAGCTGTCAACACCTGTTTTGATGCAGCTGACTGGCAGTTCAAGCTTTTGCCAAGAACGGTATTAAAAGCCTTAAATAAATAAATATGGTAGGCCACTCAATTAATTAGCCAAAGTCTGTTGATTATTGGCAAACTGGTAATTTTAATGCTGCCCAGTCCACACTGCCTACCTGGGAATACTTATTTCCAGGAAAGTACCTCACAGGAATAAGCTAAATTTGCTAGCCTTCTTCACGAAATTACCTGACATATATAGCCAGACCAGCATCTCTGAAGTAGAGCTTATGGGGTAAATACACTTAAGATAAATATTACAGCCCAACTTATATATATTTTATGTGGGGATCCTCTTTTAATACCAGGTCACTATTAGGAAAAACATCTCATAAATTTGTAAGGGGTTCCCATTCCACAACAAGTATCTTCAAAAAGTATGTAACCTTCCATTAAAAAGTCTGGATACTGTTTCCCTGATTTTATTGTGAAACTTATTTGCTGATTTGCACCAAAGTTAATCTCCACTACACTAAACGCTTTTCCCCTGGACAGTTAGAAAAAGGATCTAGGCACGAGATCCTTTTCAAAGTGGATTGCACTTGGTTTTCTCTGTGCAAAAATAGACAGGCCACCTCCTCCCATCACAGGAGTAGGAGGGACCTCCGTCACAGTTTAATCCATTTTCCCATGCCAGATTAACCTTATGGGAAACCTAGGTTTAAAAATAGCTTATAAACATTCATGTGACAGATCTGAACATAGAACTTCACTTTTATAATGGAGCATTGAGTGGGAGTGAATAATAACACGTTTCACTTTCCATTCTTACTGCTAAGTAAGACTCTCCTGCAATAGCCTAAGGACAGCAAGTTCTATTGAAACATTTATCAGAATGTCAGGTTGGCCCTGCCATCTTAGGTAGGACCGCTCTGAAATATCAACCTACAAGACGTTTGTATAAATACTTGTCAGCCAGCAAACACAATGCAAGGGTTGTGAGCAAGAACAGAAAAGAGGATTAGCATGCCCTGTTCTCCCCAACACTGGGCTGTTGTGTTCTTCCACATCCCAGGTGTGTCAATAGATCAGTGACTGCATCCCACGCAGCAAAAGCTTCTGCTCTGGGTATATGGGACACAACCAGGTCTTTTCAAGGAAGCCTCGGCTAACTGCCGGGGACGTAACGGAGCTAATGCTTCGCTCGCCCACGTTCTGGCAGTGCCCACAACTGCCTCCTCCCAAGAGGAAGTTATAATGTGCCTACATTTTGTGTTGGAAATAACTTTCCTATTTACAGGTGTACCTGTTCTTAATTATCTACCTGCTTTTTGGAATTTGATGCAAGGTCAGAATAAACGAGTTTTCTGAGAGCTAAAAGACTGATATCCTAAAATTGGAAGGATAAACTGGCAAAAATATGGGGAAGGGTATAAAATACAGTCATGGGGGGGTGAATGTGAGAAAAAGTCCATTATCAAGATCTATTGTCAATTTCCTTCAAGATCATTCAATGAAAAGACAAAATATAAATCGTCTAAGATATTAAATAAAATACCCTACTCTAACAGGCTGTTTTCGGGATTACTGGGGTACAAACTATGAGAAGAGCTTCATAAGGCGCCTTGAAAATTTCAGTAAGGAGGGAGATAAATACAGGAAGAAAACATAAAAGTACACAGCAAAGCGCTGCATGAATGCAAAGCAGGAGAAATCCGCTGGCAGATTGACTAGGTTTACACCCCCAAAGCAACGATAAATTCTCTCTCTCTCTGTCTCTCGTATGCATGTGTCCACACATGAGAATACCTGAGGACATCAGAAGTTTGATTCGAGTCGAGAGGGTGGGAGTGTTTACTGTGAAGTAGCTCGTCCGATTGCACTGAAGGCACGTGGAGGTGCAAAGACGCCTTCAAAAGAAATCGAAACACAAGTCAGTGGTCAAAACGAAGCTCACATCATGCTCTTTCTTGCAGCTCAGTCTGTCTGCTGTGTGAGGACATGGGACAGTGCGCAATCTGTACAACTGCACAAGATGGCAAAACAGCACGCCAGGAATCCTAAGAATGGTAACCCGGGTGGGACAATGGGGTCCCAAGTCAAGGTCTGCCTGATCTTCTCCGTCATCATCCTCATCACCATCACCACCCCCACCAGCTGCCTGCAGTGCTGCTCAAACTACCCTACCCATCACCAGCAGCGGCCACAATGCTGGGGTGCTGCCCCATACACCACTCAGCCTGCTGGGAACCCAAACTGAGCATCTGGCCTACATCCACGGCGAAGGGCCCTTCCACATCCGTGATCCCGAACCCACACAATCTCACCAGGTTTGCCGAATCAGGACGCGGGCGCCCATCCCAGAGCCTTCTGGGTTTCTGGGTCACCTAAACCTGGCAAGGGTGGGTCCCTCGCCCAGGTCGCTCCCGTTGCGCGCTCAGAGCATCGGTCCCCCCCCCCCCCCCGCCCGAGCTGGCGGCCTGCACACACTGCTGGGCCGTCGGTACCTTAAGAAACAGGGGGCACTGGTTTTGTGCTTGAGGACACGCCGACCAAAACCAGTCGGGCAACGGGCCTGCTTTGGCGGTCGAGACAAAGTAACCGAGGGCCAGCGGTTGCTGCAAGATGTTGGTGACTTCGTCATGAGACTCTGTGGAGAGCAGCCGATCTGTACCTTGACCCTGGAGCAAGAGGCAAGAGGAGGGGGCAGAGGGTGTCAGAGCGGCCCTGCGGGGCCAGGCTGCAGGCTGGGCTGGCCCGGCGCCCCGTTTCCCGCAGTGGGGACGCCCCTAGCGAGTCCTCCGGTGCTCGCCTTCCTTCCCCCAACAAAAAGCCCCAAATATTGTAGCCTCGCTAGAGAGTTACTTCAGCACCACGATCATTCCGCTTCCCTTTCCTATCCCCTTCCTCTGCTTTGCCATTTCTTTTTCAGAAAACAAACCAGAGCGGTATGCAATATTCCAAGTCGTGGCCATGACCCGATGGGCCAGGAAAGCCCCACCAAGCCAACTCGCAACATTGCTCCCTGGTTTTAACGCAAGATTTCCAGCATTCAGGATCAGTGCTCTGGCAACATCGGGACAATCGTTCTTTAGAAAGAGACGGGCGGCTGGCTGCAAAACGTACCTTGCCCATATCTCCTCCGTGAGTGAAGTGCGAACCCGGTGAATGCACAGGAGACGCCGATGGGGATGCAGGGAGGATGTTGATAATGTCAGGGTCGAGGTCATCACCAGTATCTAACAAATCAAAAATCCCCATTCCATCTGCTCCATCTTGAAGAAAAGGACAGCAGAAGAAAAGCGTCTGTTAACCAAGAGCCACCGTTTCGATCCTTTTTTTTTTTTTAAAGGTACACATGATATGGGAAGATACCCTTAATAGGGAGCTAGTATGAAGCAGCAATTCAAAAGTGCTGGAACAGAACCACAGAGGGCTGACCGGGAATCCCTGAGCAGCTATGAGATTTGGCAGGTGACACAGCAATTCTGACTGGCCCAAGGTCACCGGCTCACCATAACGAAGGTACGAAATGGGAACAAGATAGAGCCCAAGTACAGCAGAGTTCTTATGTCAACTTTTGACTTGCTGTTAACGCACTGGTCTTAATCTATTTATTTAAAACATTTCTATGCCGGCCCCATCGCAACAAAGCCTCGGGGCGGCTCACAAAGAATACATAAATACATACATAAATAATAATAATATAACCATTAAAAAAAAGTTTAAAAAAACCCCGGTGCATTCTCGGCTAAAAATTTTAACATCCTAATTAATTCAATAATTTAACAATTAAAAAAAGTTTCAGATAAAAATGTCTTAGCCTGGCGCCAAACAACAAATAACGACGGCGCCAGGCGGACCTCTCTGGGGAGCGCATTCCATAGATGGGGTGCCGGTGCAGAGAAGGCCCTCCTCCGAGTACTTACCCTCCTAGTATCATTCACAGAGGGTTCCCGGAGAAGGGCATCCGTTGCTGATCTCAAGGGGCAGGAGAGCATATATCTAACCTCTCTTACATTTACTTCATTGGCTTGCTAGGACTGAGAGAGCATCTATGTACTGGACACAAAGAACTGGCTACTGGCTGTTCCGCACGGTCCCTGTAATCAGGGCTTAAGATTTTATAGAGTATTTATTCACAAACATTTCAACTCAGGCTCAGCAATGGAAAAGGTGAAGCCCCAATGCAATTGCTGTGAAGGAAGCCGCAGGGTCAGTCTGGCTGTCATACAAGACCTTATCCAGGGTCCTGGAATAGGCAGGGCTGGGTGTAGCGGGTGGGGGGGACAGGAAGCCATTTGGGGAAACGTGCAGTTAAGGGAGTCGGGGGTGTAAAGGAGGGGAAAGGCTGGATCTAGCGACAGAAAAATCTGTCTGCTGGATAGGGTAGAATTCTACGTATTGCTACAACAGCCAACTCATGGGTCGAAGACCTCATTTTTACATCTTTGGAGAGGTTCTTTTTGCATTGGAACACACAAACACACGCACACACACACACACAAACAAACCATTGTTTGTATTAAAGGCCAGTTCCAAACCAGTTTCAGTGGTGTAGGTGGACGATGCTACTTGCACAGATGCGGACGTGGGAAACACAAGTATGTGAGTGCATGATGTGTCCTGCGGGGTGTTTAGCTGAGACGTCTGCGTATTTAGGGTGGTGCTGCGTCCAAACACGGAGCCAGTTGATACTGAATCTTGAAAGAAGAAGAAAGAGCGGGGAGAATAAGAACAGGTCCCCCTGCCGCAAAGTCATTCTCAAGGGAGGGGTGCGTAATGAGAAACATCTCGCCAGTACCTGGCATGATGATGAAGGACCCCTGTGGCTCCATCGCCACTAAGCAAGCGCTGAGGATGCTGGGGGAATCGGCCGCCGAGATGCCGCACATTCTGCACATGTCCTTCAGCCGCTTACTAAGGGACTGCAAATTTCGGCGACTCAGCAAACAGCTCCAATCTGGAGGAAACACCGGAGAGGTTGGCAGCCTGGATTATTTTAATGTTCTCTAAGGAAGCTTCTACATGTGGAAGCGACACTTTTCTCGTAGATGCAGCGGGGAGGACAAGAAAATGGGAGGAGGAGACGAGAACAGTGGTCTGCCTCCTTCTCACATATGGTACTGAGGAATAGCTACTTTATTTTTCTACTCTCCTTGGGAAGGGAAGCTGGGAAAGCGCAAAATGTTTGCACAAGCTGGTCCTTCCAATTAACGAGAGAGAAGCAAAACATGGGATGCCACCCAACCCTGGTGCCCCCTTATGCTACTGACTGCACGAGCAATTCCGGGCGGAAAACCAGTGGCGTAAGCCGGGAAATGTGTTTTCGGAGCAACCTGTCACAGCCGCCCACACCACCGTCCCGGGGCAGCTCAGCTGCAGTCACTCACGCTAGCAGTGTATCAACAGCACAAGAGCTGCGGCTCCCACTGCCGTTCCAAGAGACACGCGTGGCAGCAGCCGCTCCGTTCTCCAGACAGCAATCCAGGACCCAGAAGCAGCCCGCTTCAAAGTGTAATTTGCACTATCCAGCACTTGGCTGTAGAACAGGCCTGCCGCAGCTCACTGGCACGTAACCCCCACGGGAGAGAGTGCTGCAGCATGAAGCCACGTGAAGTTCCTGACCCCATCGGCTCACTCAACTCGGAGGCAAGGTCCCAGTCCCTTCCAATTATTCTTTTTCACGGGCTACAAAACAAAGCCCAGCCTTCCAAGACACAGCTCCGCATTACCTTTCAGTTCCCCGTGGCCTATTCTTCCAAGACGCCCTATCACAACTCTCCATGGCAACGAACTCATCTGCACGAGCCCCAGACACCATTCCCAGAGTTTCTGGAGACCCAGCCTGCGAGCAGAGCCCTTTTTCCTACGAGCCCTAATGGGAAAGAAAGAATCAGCGGTTCACAAGGCTTGTGCACACCATCATCCGGCGTTTTGAGGCTGCTCCCAACATCTATTTTGGAACTGATATACCTAGATATATTGAGCAGCTTTCTGCACTGTCCTGGTACTTCTGGAACGGACCACTATTCCGTAGCGTTCCCAAAGCCATTAGCAATATGCATTTCCAGAGCAGGGCAGGGATGCTCCCAAAAGGGGGTTCTGCCGAGCTGCTCCACTCTGATTTCCGCTCATTTGCAAGGTCGCTTCGGAACCGCAGTTGCTGCACAGCTGGGGTCCTTCCCCATGACTGGCCCAACAGAGCTCCCAGAGATGTGGTGGCAAGAGCACAGAACACTGTCTGTTGGCGGCCAGAGCTGGGGCTCCCCATCGAATCATACAACCGTAGCACTGGAAGGGGCCTAAAAGGCCACTGGGTCCAACCCCTACCCCACTTCTTCCACACGTGGTCACCCATCCGGCTGCAGGCCCACCCCTTTCCAGCTTAGCAAAGGTGACTCAACATGCTACCTCAATGTAAAGCCACACAGGTGGGCGATCCAAGTAAGAATCGAAACCCAGGTTTTAAAAGAAATCTTTCTGAATCGGTGAGCCGATCAAAAATAACAAGAAAACAAATGCAGTAATTCTCTTATCACACACACAGCAAAACTTTTCAGTACGAAAAGCCGAGAACCAGCATAAACACAGTAGAAGTCAGTCTTAAGCCACCTTCTGGAAAAGTTCTCAAAACCCACCTGAAAGTGTGTGGGGGGTTGTTTTTCGGAGAGGAGAATGCAGCCTTTTTGCTTGCACCATTTTAGCGCCACTCTTCAGCCGAAAAAGCTCCCAGAGTGACATATGAGGATCAATGTTTATGGAACCCCTGCCTCTAAAATGCACGCTACCAACGGAAAAGGGGACAAAGAGGAAATCGGAAAACAGGCATGCTCTTACCTGTTTGGGACATCAATGTTAATGATGCAAGTTTCCAATAGCTCTCCATACAGATCCGTGCAGGACGCAAGAAGCCACCGTTGATCGTGAGACAGACAGTAGCCCACGAAAAGCACATTATATTTCTGTCCAGCCTCCCCAAACGTTTCTCCCAGCTCTGTCTGTTTATCTTTCACCGGTGCCAGTATGAACGGAGGCGCATAGAGCTTAATGCGCTCAGGTCGCTGCAAAACACACGCGTGACAGACGGAGCACTTCAGACACAAGGCAGCTTGGCCTGTGGCACAGCAGATGGTCAAGCACATGCTATGGCTGGTGTCTCTGGTGCACCTTGGGCCCCGTAAATATTGTCCTGGCTTGCGAACCAAACCTCTGTCTGTCTTCACTTCCTCCAGCCCTCTAGGCAAGGCATAGGCGGGGTGCCAAAGGCCAGCCTTCGTGGCCAGTCTTGCTACAAATGCAGGAAGGGCTTGGGTGAAAGCCAGGGCCCTCCTCAGTGGGGTGGGGAAGGCCCAGTGAAGAAGAACAAGCCACAGGAGAATGCCTCTGGTCTCCTTCTCCCAATCCTGCAGCCCATTTGTGAAGGCAGGCAGGGAGTCCTCACTCGAGAGCAAGGGACACCCTCAAGGGAAGCAAACCACACACAGATGCATGCACAGAGATGTGTCTCTCACTGATCTCCCTGGTTTCAGGAGTCCTCCTCAAAACAGAACCAGAATCCCACTGAACTGATGCACTGCTCTCCTCGAAATACTCACCTCAGGACTTTTGAGGGCCATTTCCATGGCTAAGCCGGGGCCGAACCCAGTTAACGTTTTCACGTTGGTTGACGTCGGGAGTGGCCTTCGGCACTGCGTAAAGGCTGAGAATGCCAGAGATTTTAGGTGCTGGGTGTAGATCTGTCGGTCTTCATTCTTGACTGGTTGCAACAGATATTGACAAGGGACAAGCTAAGACAGACAGAGAGAAGAGACAACTTAGATTAAGCAGAGAATATTTAATACTAGGATGCCACCATGACCTTGATGTGCGCCCATGAGGAGGATTAATGGGAAGATGCTCATGAAGGAACGCTCCTTCCTAAAAAGAGGCACATGGACCTGGAACATCCTGCCACAACTGGAAGGGGCGTCGCTCTCCTTCACGACGGCTCTTGTGCCAAGGGGGGAGGAAGAGAAGGGGCCTCCAACAGCCAAAGGCTCACCCATCCCCTCAACAGGGGGGATTTCCAAGGGCCACACCGCAAACACCACAGGCCCCTGTGTTTCAGCATTCCAGCTTACCTGTACAGAAACGATGTTTCTGATGTGCGGAGGAAGGTTTTGGATCATTTCCAGAAAGCAACGGAGAAGGCCAAGTGTCCACACGTTGGAGGAACTGCTCTCTTCCTTCTTCTCGTAGGTGAAAGGGTCGACGATGTAGACCACAATGGCCGGTGGATAGGTGACTGCGTGAGAATCGCCGTCGGTGGGGATCCCCACCTTGTCGCGGTCCAGGGTGCTAGAGGCAGGCGGCAAACAGGGTTGTGGTGAGACACAGGGGGTCATCCTCTCGTGCTGAAGCCGCTGTGGGCATCAGACTGACAAGAGGGAGCTGTCGAGCTGCCACGTTCGGGGCCCCGAAGTGGCCTTCCCTTGTTTTCGCAGAGGAAGCTTAGGCATGCCCTTTCCACCCAAATCTCCAGGAGGAAGCACCGTGTTTGTTTGCACGCTCCGTTTTCATACCCTCCAAGAACCACAAGGGCTCTCTGCCCCTCCTTTGGGGCCACCAGGGCCTTTATGCCCACAGCAAGCCCCTGCCCTGACGCCACCCCAAGCTTCTTAACAGGAAGGGGCTGATTCAACCGACGGCGTTACCTCTCTGAAACCTCCGGGTGCAGCTGTGCGGGGAGAGACCCGGCTTCCCCAGGCATCCCGGCCGTTTGCGGCTGCGTCCCGGCCTGCCCGTTCTGGACTGCGGCAGGCTGCGAAGAGGAGAGGGAGGAAGCGGCAGAGCTGTTCATGCTTCCGAAGGGTGGAAACGAAGAAGGCTTGTTTGCCGACATCCCACTGCCCAGGCTGGAAGAGGCGGCGGAGGAGGAGGACGCGGTGGTTGTGGTCAGGCTGGAGTTGGCAGTGGTCGCAGCAGAAGTGATGGCGCTGCTCGAGTTCATCGTGACCGCGTTACCGGTGGTGGACGAAGGGGTGGACGATGGGGTGGAGCTGCCCGCAGCCTGAGACTGAGTGGATGCAGGATGGCTTGCGGCAGGAACCAGGTTTGACTGGGAGAGCAAGGAATTGTCCAGGGGCTGCGTAGCAAGATAAGGACCTTGAAACAAGCAAAACAAAAAAAAAAAAAAAACCATTAAAATTAATCCTAAGATTTTCTTTTTGTGGATTCCTGCAATGAGCAGTGCATCCTTTCTGTTCGATTGCATGAATGGGGTTCCTTGAACGTTAATTGTGTACGGAGAAGGAACATGGTGGGTGATGTTTCTTAGAAAAGCAGCCTAACCCCCACCACCAATCTGCCCCTAAAACGTGCAGTGAACCCAACACCATGAACCCAAGTGCAGAGGGAAATTTGCATTCCCACATGACGGAACTGACAGCCAGCTAGTCATTGTGAGAGTGTTGGGCTATGATTCATGAGACCAAGGTCCTGGTTTCCAGTCACGGACTCTTAGCCTAACCCAACTCCAGGACTGCTCGGAGGAGGAGGAGGAGGAGGAGGAGGAGGAGGAGGAGGAGGAGGACTGGGCAAGCCACCTCGGGGTCCTCCCAAAAAGAAAAATGGTGGGATCCAAATGCAATAGATAAATAAATAGCATTTTTTGAAAGCAGGCAACCCAGTTTCTAAGAAGGCGTGTATTTCCTTAATCCCAGTTAAGTATTCTGGCAAGCTTTGGGAGAGGGAAGGCGAGGGGAATGGGAACATACCCAAATCGTATCTGCAGACTTGTGCATATAGCTTGAGTCTAGAAAACGATTCATTGTTGGCATGAGCTGTCTGAGAGAACCACTCGGCCACAGACTTCTCAGAAAGTTTACTGGAAGCAGCGGATCCAACTCTCATGATTCCATCAGGCAAAAGCTTGCAGATGGGCCGATGCTGGCCAAGCCTGCAGGACTGCAAAAGAAGAGAAAAGGGACTAAGCGTGCCGACTGTGTCCGACACTGGAGGCCGACTCTTTCGGGGAGCCTCGTACACCGGCTCCACAAGAGGAGGCAACACCTTTCTAACGCTCTCGACAGAGCCCAGGATGGCTGCGGCTCAGCCTTCTCCAGCCCGACATCTTCTAGATGTGCTGGACTGCAGCTGGCTGGGGGATGTGGGAGCTGCCATTCAACACATCCGCTGGGTGCCGGCTTGGGGAAGGGTGCCACAGCTCTTCAGGGTGGCTTTGCTTCCACAGAGTTTGGGAGAAACCAGCAAGAGGACCGTCCTCGCGGCCCAGTGACCCCTGACTGCTTTCTGTGCCAGGTGGCAGAAAGTTTCTGGATAAACAGCAGCAAAGAGATTCAGCTGAATGGAGCAGCTGTCGCTTTGGCTGCAAGCTGAGCATCACCAGAACTTTCTGGCGACCTGTCCAGCAGACTGCGAAGCCGAATCCTGGGGTGGGGTCCATCACCATTTTCTGTTGGGTAGTTTTGCAAAAAAAAAAAACAACAACCCGTAATAATGCTTTTCGTCCCGTCTTCTCTTCTGTACACATAGCAGTTACTTTTTCAAGGACTTCCATCGTCTTGACTTTTGTTATGGCTCCTGGCCAAGATAAGTCGATTTGAACCTGAGCGCTTAAGTGGCACGGCTCCCTGTGTTGCAGATTAACGACCCATGACATAATTTCATTACAAGGCATGAAGTCATGAAGCTCGCCATAAAACCACGGACCCATTGTTCTTCCAGAAAAGTAGCTGTGTTGGGGACGTCACAGCAAAAATAAAACATTTTGGCACCTTGAGCACAAATGCATGTATTATGGCATAAGCTTTTAGGACGGACTGGAGTCTGCCCTGTTAGATGCATCTACGGGATGCTACACCACAAAAACGTATGCCATCATAAATCTGTTAACCCTCAAGATGCCACTATACTGTTTTGACACTGCTTTTTTAAATTAAAAAAACAGGTGACATCCCTGTATTTCCCCTCATCAGTTATCCATCCACACAGAGTTTAGCATTCTGAATTTTAATTGTGCTACTTATATAATAACATCCTAAGCTTACTGTCCTAAAATCTCTATGCAATTAACAGTATGTACATAACACAGCATAAAACAAACATAAAACTGCATAAACAAAGCTAAAAGAGTACAATGAGGACAATATTTTATTTAATATTTATTATTTAGAATGTGTATGCCGTCCCATTTGCATGAGCCTCGGGACGGCTTACATACAATAAATATAGTACAAATAGTGCACATAAAATCCAGATTCACCCTGGCTGCAAAATAAAACCTATAGATGATATTAAAAATTGTTAAAATGTTGTTTAACTAAAAAGGTCTTAGCCTGGCTCCGAAAAACAAGTAACGAGCGCATTCCATAGATGGGGCGCCGCCGGAGAGAAAGACGGAAGACGGTTAAAAAGTGTGGGGCCATCATCCCTTCAGAGCCACGAAAAGCCCGTGCGAAGCCAACGCGTCTTCCGGTGGTTTGTGATGCTTGGCACGAGCGCATGTTTCAGAGGAGGGGTGCCACTCCTAAGGAGGCCCCTCACATGCTGGTGACCCGGCAACCTTCCACTGCCTGTGCATCAAAAATGGATAAATACAGGGAAAAGGGATCGGAGAGGCCTCCTGGGCTGCTGAGAACTCCCTCTGTCAACAGTAAAGCCAGAATGTGGCCGACAGCCAGTGCGGTTCTTGCAGTGCTGGTGCAGGACTCCTCCAGGTCCATTGCTTCTGAGCACTGCAGCACTGCTGGCAGTTCTCACATCTTTATGCCTACTCAAGACAGCTAAGGTAGACCTACAGAAATAAACCACGCTTAAATGGTGGCCCTTTAGCTAGGACTCACAGGCCACCTCTGTGTGTGTGGGTTGGGCTGCACTGAAAATGCAGTGTGTTATATATTCCTATTGCCCATTATAAACTCCACCTCGGATCCAGTTTGTTGCCCCTTTGCAGACTGCACCGGAAGGTCCATCTGATGAATTTAAGGTCCGAGAGCTGACAGGAGATACGATAAAGAGCAGTTCAGGTTTTGCTGGGTTTGGGGTACTCTTAGGTGAAATACAAGATGGCTCAGGCAATCCGCCACTACCTCTCAGCAAGCTGGGCTAAATAGCGTCATTTGAGAAATAAGAGTCCATCCACCAAGAATTACTTGGTGCGTAGCCTTGTACTGAGAAAGGCAATACAGCATTTAACCACTGGATGGCATCTGCATGATAAGAAAACTGCAATTTAAATGAAGTCTTGGTAAAGAAGAGGGGCCTTTTATCTCTTTGTACCCATCCATTTTAGTTAGTTAGTCAAGATAAGGCCTGCTAGAGTTTTAAGCATCTTGCAGAATACCAAGGTGAAGAATGATCTCCATTAAGGAAGGGGTGAATGCGCTCCGGAGAGCCACCCCACCTCAAGATCCTTACCTCGTATATTGCGGTGAGATCCCGAAAGAAGGTTTTTGCTCCTTTCAGCAACGCTTCATTCTCCGGACACACCACAACATAAGCAATGTCCCTCTGAGATCCGTAGGGTTCCAACATCAGCCTCTCCCAGTATGGTAAGGCAAAAGGGGACAGCACCAGAAAGTCATAATCATATCCCAACAAAAACGTTGGAATGGGCAGTGGTTCTGGAGACTCATCAGTTCCTGGACAAGAAAAGGACAGTTTTCCGTAGGTTAACATGCAAAGTGAGCTCTTCCATATACAAGGAAGCTACTGCCTGATGCCTTCTACAGCAATCATCAGGACATTCGAGGGGCTATCCTCACGTCTGTGCATGCAGAATTCCTGGGGGTCCCTGTCTCGAGCTTCCAACCATTCCCTGCCCCAGTCCATGTTAGATTTCTTGCTACAGGGAGGTTCTGAAGTTCTTTGAAGAGTCAAAATAAATCATGAAAGCACAAACCTCTAACTTTTGGTGTAAAGTTGGTCTGAAGCTAAAACTGGAAGCCCAGCGTACCACTGTGCTGTATTGCGTTGTAAGCCGTCCCGAGATGCCGAGGCAGCATGTGGGGACGGCACACAAAAGTTTTAAATAAATAAATAAATACTCTCCAGTTTTTTTACTTGTAAGTACCAAACGCTGGTAAAATCTGCCTTTCTGGTGGGAGCAAATCTAAAACACTAGCATGAAGAACAGAAGTCCCCTTTCCGAACCCGAGGGCAACACACGGAGCCCTTGCTAGAAAACAGGATCTAATAAGGAACTCTGAATTCGGAAACACAAGTAGTATTCATGCCCAGACGCAGGATTCTGGGTAGGTCGAGGGTAGGTGACCTGTTCCCCTCCAGACATTCTGGGCTACAACTTGGATAACACCTGTCTGCCGGCCATGCTGGCTGGAGATGCTGGCAGCTGCAGTCCAAAATCTCTGGGAGACACAAGATCGCCTCACCCTGAGCTGGCCTGGTGCTGGACACGAGTCTCCTCACCCTCACCCTTCCCCACTTTTCTTTATTAGATCCTCAACTCCAACAGGGGTTCAGACTTTGGAACGCAGCCCAGACATCACTGCTGTATTGTGGTTTGGCTCTCGGAAACACGAAGTGGCCTCCCTCGTACACCAATTTCCTCCTCTACGTAGTAGAACCTGGGTTTGCCATGATGGCCTTGCTGGGTTTGCTGCTAACCATGCTTTGCCTCCAAGCTTTCTGACACTGCTTTGGAGGCAGCAAACGAAGGCAGTAACCATGTCTGGCCTGACTCAGACAGGGTTGTGAACTACGGCTACTGCGGACCAGCAAACTGACGGACCGAATTTACATGGAAGAGGGATGATGGAGCAAAGCTCACGGCCTATTTCTGACTGACAATCGGCCCACGGTTGGGCCCCAACTTTTGAAATGACGCGGTGCAACTGCATATCTTCCACAGTGAGGAGGCGACCCGTTCTTTGCGGTGCAAGACCTTGCCACACTCTGCTGATTCCCCTTGCTCAGAATATTACTTTCTGGGCACTAAATGACAAATTAACTTTTCCTCTAAGTCGGCCTTCCCCAAGTTGGACTGAGGGATTATGGGAGTTGTGGTTCAAAGTATGTGGAAGGCACAGCTTGAAGCAAAAAGCTGGATCGGCTTAAAATGGAGCCACTCTCCCCTGCCCCACACGCACGGAGCTGGGAGAGAGACACTGTGGATTTGCAGCGGAGACGTGCAGCCGGGCAAGGGCGGCAATTACCGTAGGAGCCTCGGCCAGCCATTTTGTGGAACTGCTGCCACGTGAGGGGGCCCTGCACTCCCCAGGAGCGAACGGTGCGTTTCTTCTGGATGGCGTCCTGGAGGACAGGCTGGAGCGAGAGCAGCATGCGAAAGATGTCCTGAGAACACTGCATGCTCACATCTATGACTGCAAAACAACGGGGGTTAGTTCGAGGAACCGGCAAAGGAGCATTCGAGGCGCTTCCCGCACCTGCCGACAACCGCGATCCCGACTTCTAGGCTCTGCAGGCTTAAATATACGGAGTGTTTCTGCCCAGCAAACTCAACCTGCTGTCTTTCTAGAACCGTCTATATGTCTCACTGAGCGCTGCTCAACGCCTTTCCTGAAAAATGGAATGGCAAGGCTACACAGTCCACCATCCATTTCGTACACAGCTTGGAACATGCCATCAGAGCTTCTTTTAGAGTCTACACAAGGCTGTCCCCAATATGGCCCTCCTGAGGCACCTTGGGCTTCAACTGGCACCGGCACCAGACAGCATAACAAGGATCTGGAATGCTGGGAGTTATTCTTCAGAAGCTCTGGAGGCCGCTAAGTTCCAGAAGGGTGGTCACGCAAAAGTACAGATGACCCAACGGAGGTCTAATTAAACGAGTCATACCTTTCCTTCTCTCTCGGACAGGATTTTCTTAATAGCCAATCTCAGGAGGTATTCTCAAACAAGTTATTCATAGTCTAAATCCCCAGGGAAGCAATGAGTATCTTACGGGCCCAAAGTTTTCAGTAGTCGTCCACCATCACAGAATTCCAGATGAACTGGAATTAGAATAACCACGCAACCTACGTTCTGTACCTGTGGCAAATCACTAACTTTTTAGTCAATACTTCGTCTGTGGACAGAAATGTAAAAGCGTTCTTGCCAAACGCTTCCTATTTTCTAGCAAGCCTTTCACACTTACCATTTCGTTTTGACCAGTGATGCAAGCAAGTACTTTTCACAAGCGCTTCGTCGACCTTCCCTCCTGACATGTTGTCCATAAACTGGCGCCCGTGCTCCAAGGCAAGGTAACAGTCATTGCAAGAGTCCCTTTCTTCAGCCCGTACCTGGCTGCCAAGGGCACCAACTTTGGGCAAGGGGTCTTGATCCGCCGCTCCGAACGGTGAGAACAAGTTGGTGCACTGGTCTTGCAGCAAGAGCATCAGCTCATCGGGTAGTCTGTCGGCTTCCTTTGGCCCCCCGCCGTGTTCCACGGAAGTGGTGCGCAGGGCCTCGAAGCGTTTCTCGGCTTCTTTGCCACATTCCGAGTTGCGGCCCAGAATGTCCAGCTCATCCTCGAGAAACAAGCCGGAACTGTTGCCGAACTTCCTGTTCATGACTGCGCTGAAGCCACACGTGCACCTGTACTGGGCTTCCTGCGTTGGGTCAGGAATATAAACTCCAACGTCAGCACCTTTGATGTTCATGTTGCAGACGCAGATGCAACAGCTGTCAAAGTTACAGTCTTTGAAGAGGTTCATCACAGATTCGGAGAGAATGAGGTTGACGTAGAGACTGTGGGCCTCGGGGATAGAGGAAACAGTGGCAGGCTCGACAGAATTCAGGGGCCGGCAGGTGGACGGCGTGGAGGCTGGGGAATACAGGTCCGAATTCTCGTACTTGACTGAGCCTTGAGCACTGGCTGGCCCACCAGCCCCACGGGGAGTCCGAGGCGTCCTTGGCGTTCGAGGCGTTGGGAACCGAGGGGTAGAAGGCGAAGGGAGGATGCCCGGCCCACTGTTACTGGGGGGAGCGCTACTGGGCGGCATTCCAAAGGGAGTATGGGTTTGCGGAGTGTAGGCGGGGCCATACTCTTGATCAATCGTGCTCCCGTCGCTAGAACAAGGAGGGGGGAGATTTTTAGCCGAGCATTCAAGACCTCTGTGAAGCACACACAAGACGCGGTCAGACAAGGAGCTGCAAGCAATGCAACTAAGACATAATGCCACACTGTGAGTGTGTTGATTATTCAGGTTGTGTTTCAGAACTCAGAAAATTGAGTCTTTGCAGAGACACAACAGAATGCAGAGAATCCATGCAAAGAGGCGCATGAATGGATGTCCGGCAATGTTAATTCTCATGCTCTTAGAACAGGAAAGCATAAAAATGATTTTAAAAAGGGAAGGCAAGAGGCCCAAGCGTTAAGACCAGCGGTGTGCAATCCTTGTTTTATAACACAGTTTCCAACAGTGAGCCAAATTAAGAGAGGAATTCACTTCATTGCCCTCAGTGATGTCATCATGGAACCAAATCTGACCGGCTGTGCCAAAGCGCCAGCATTGCTGGACCATCTTTTACATTCACTTTAGCTGTTGACTGGGACCAGAAGCAGTAGAAGCCAAAACTAGAAAGATGGGGAAGATTTCCTGGCATCTATCAGAGACAATTCTGAATCCTCCAAAATCCTACTTTGAATGCTTACATTTTATTTGCACTCCCAAACAGTCAATGAAGTCCCAGCAATTCATTAAAGATTCCTTTTGAAATATGATGTTTGAGAGCAATGATTACCTTTCTGTAAACAACCACCAGAAAAACTCACATACACACACACACCACATACCCAGCCCAGTGCTAGGATGGTGCCAGAAACACAGTACAGTCCCTGGTTTGGATTTATTTTCCAGCACATTTCATAGCTTATTAAATTTATACTACTAAGCACCCCCAAGAAACCTATTATACAAGAAACAACAAATAAAATGTACACCTGCTGAAGAGCTATTTGGAAAGCAGGGAAACTAAATATTTTAAGTGACAAGTTCACGTCAAAGTGAACTATTTAGTGAGTACACTTTTCCTTAAGTGTCTTGGAAAGTGTCAAAGTCACTTTTTAGATTATTATGAAATGATCGACTGAACACACTTAACTGACTTCTAACCAAACCTACACAGGCTCCACTAAAATGCATCCGTGTCGAGCAAAAGCATCTAATACACCTGTTGGACTGCAGTTCCCACAACCTTTTCTCAGTATTGCTGGCTGGCTGGGGGATTATGGAAACTGTAGTCTGACATTTCCAGAAGGCACTACTTGGGGAAGGGCTGCTCAAGTCCCAGCTCATTTAGCAGAGCTGGTACGGGAGCTTTTCCTCTGCCCTTTCTGGGACGAGGGCTGCCAAATGGAGGCCTTCGCCTCTCGCTTGCACACACGCACCCCTCTTTGATGAACGGCATTGCAGGTCCTGGAGGAAGCAACTCCAGCTTGCCCACGGTCCAACTCTGGCGGTACGCACACTCCTCTGGCAGTTTGATGGCCGGGAGACACTGGCTCGGCAGAGTCTTCAAGGGAGCAAACATAGAGCAGCCCACAAAGGCTTGGCTGTTCTCAGGCTTGTAAACGTAAGAATAATCCTGGCAAGCAAATGGGGAAAAAAGAGAGTGAGCTGAAATGAGCGGCTACATGTCAACAGAGAGAGTGCAAAGGTTATGGCGGCTTTCTCTACCACTGTCTTTCTACCGCTTGCACACCCGGGCTCTGCTGCAGCGCAGAGGACAGCATAGGGAGGCAGGCCTGGGCAGGTAACCTCAGGGGCCCATTTCGAGCCGATGTCTGGGTGAAAACGAAGGAGGAGGACACATTTTGCTCCATCGCTGCTCTCTCTCAACACAAAACTTATGCACTGGACAAAGAATTTGCTTGCTTGCTTCCCTTTTGCCTTGAAGGAACGCAAGGTGGCTGATGCAGCTCTCCTCCTCTCAGTCTTATCCTCACGAACAACCCTGTGAGGTAGGTTAGGCTGAGAGTCAGCGACCAGTCCAAAGTTACCCCGTGAGATTTGTGGCTGAGAGGGGGCAGAAGCCAAATCTCCAGCACTCGGCCACTGTACCACACTGGTTCCCAAAGGAATGTTTCACAAACGTACATCATCTTTGTGCTGGAGACGTGCTCACCTTCCCGTAACATTCCAGTTTTAGTATATGTGCTGCCAAAGTGACCGTATTAAAAGTATATGGTTTGCAGAGCAGGAAAGAAAAAGCACAGACAAGTTTTGCTGATTAACAGGCACAATCGTGGACTACCGGAATTGTGTCCCCATCTTCGCACGAACAGCTAAAGCTACGACTAAGCTCACTACAATGCTATAGGGGCAAAAAGGCAGAATCAGTGCATCCGTTCAAAGGAACATACCCCCGCGTCTATCGACCTGCCTTCTCTTCACCTCAACACTGAGCTTTAATCTCCGATACGCTCTGTGCAGGCCAAGAGGACACAGCAGAACGAGAAAAGCCGACGGCAATAATAAAATTCAACAAGGATGGAATCAAGAGGTGTTCACCTACCTTTATTTCGGAGGGTTTCGGACTGCAGAATCCCTCATCGACCTCGATTCGGAACTGAATGCCGACTGTGGCGCCGTTTCCTTCGAGGACGGTTCCTCCTGGGGTGGTATCCATGCTGCCATACTCTTTATTGTTCATATTCATGGGAGAAAACCCCATAATGTGCTGCTCCAAGGATGGTGGGGTGGGATACATTTTATGCAGATCTGCTGTACCTGATGTGGATTTAAAAGGTCTAGATTTAAATTTTTAAAATTTAACTTTTTTCTCTATCATGAGATTATCATCCCGTGTTCCAGCCAGGCATGTGCATTATATACGAGGCGTGTCGAGAGCGGGCTTCTGGAAGGCAATTTTACTTGCCAAAACAGAAACAGCTACTGCTAAAAGCAGACAATTGGAGTTAGGAAAGGAATACTATGTAGCTTACTTAAGGATGGCCATGTTTTGGACATACTATCACCCAATAGCTGAATGCAGGACAAATAAAAGTGGCAAAAAACCAATACAAGATCCAAAGAAAGAATTTAAAAACCATTTGAACAATTGCATTAAATACATTCAATAAAACAGATTACTGCAGACATAAGGCCCCATATGCCATTAAATGTCAGAGCATAGAGGGAAGTCTTAACCTGGCCCTGGAAGCAGCCTCAGTGGCAAACTTCTACAATTGGGAGGCCACCACTGAAAAGACACTGCCCCCACGTTGTCAGAGGCAACTCTCACAGGGAAGGCTCAGGCGTTGCATGTACTAGGTTTAGGTCAGCAAAGAAGCATCAACAGGTCCTACAGTTCCCTCACAAGATCAAAGCAGATAATTAAGGCTGCATAATGTAAAGTTGGCTTACTTATACATGACAAAGGGTCCAGTGTTCCTGCTTTTGACTCCTTGCAGTTGGATTTGTCATCTAATCCATTCAGCATTCTTTTAGACCCAGGCTGGAGAGAAAACAAGGCAGGAAATGACTCCATGTATTGAATGATGGTAAGTTTTTAAACAGCTTCATGAATTGTGACACCTTTGTAACCTGAAAAATCCACACCACCCGGAGCATGACTAAACAATGAGTGGGAGTCTCCAAAGTAGTACATGAGGTTGCATAATGGATCCTGCTTTTCATCACAGGTACCCCTTTGGATTCCTGTCACTGTCATGCACACGCATTAGGTCACTTTGTTTATAAAACAGAGCTGCTTCAAAATTCAAGTTATATCACCACACAGCTCTAAAAACTACATGCATTCCGACCAAATACAAGCCAACGGTTAAGTAGGGCAATCCAGGCCAAGTCAAATCAAAGGATAAGCAGCTCAACTGTTTGCACACATTGTGATGGCCATGTTTCAGCCAACATTTCAATGCAACTGTGACACCACAGGAGAAAGTGCCATGTGCCAGTACGAAACAGCCACCAAAGGACACGTATTGTGCCTATGAATAGCCGGGGAAGGCTGTTCAGTGTGGCTCTGAGCAGCCTGTGATGGACTCCGCAAACCATTTCCCTCAGGAGAGTTGACCTCCCTGAAGATGTTGATAAGGAAGACTGCTTACAGAGAGCCAGTCTTGCGCATCTGTCACCATCTTGTGCCTTTCTCTCAACATACTGAGGGTTAAGGTGGATACTTTACTTGAATCTGAACTGGAAGAAGAGGTGAGGCCGGAATGTTTAGCCAAACTGCCAAGCGCAACAAGCTGTGAGATAAGCCAAGGGCTTGGTGAGAGCTAGAACACCTCTGGCTCGGGGCAGACAATGCTGAACAGGGAGGGTCACAGGGGGAGGGATGTAATTTTATCGGCCCAGTGGTCTGATGCCAAGTCAGATGACCAGGCCAATTAAGTAACATCCAGCATTCCTGCCCTTTTGTCCACAAGCAGCATAAGCAGCTCCCTGAGGGTGGTGCCAGCTCAGTTTGCTGAGGAAGGAGGAGTGGAATTCAGTTTAAAATCAACTTTCAGAACAAGCAGACCTACACAAGGTGACTTGATAGATGCTTGTTAACAGCATGCATATTACTCCCTCTATATTCACAAAGCCGGTCCTGGCTGACCAGCTTTAACATAATGAAAGACTTCATTTAGACCCCCACCCCCGGCAACCTTGATCTGCTTAGAGCGGCAAAAGAGAGAGGCTGCAGGAGACAGACTAGCTGTGGACACTTTCCGTGATTCTCAGCTGAAACTTATCGTGCAAACTTTCACCTTGAAAGCGCTATTGTATGACGCTATTTCACACATTCGGGTAACAGAAAAGCTGCTCTGAATTTGCCTTCGGGTTTCCTGGACTGAGATAGGAGTCCAGACATAAACACATGGACTACAACCTCTTCCAAAGAGGTTTCCCCACTTCCAGATGAACATTCCCAGCTGCCAAGTTGGGCAACTGGAAACTGGCCCATTTGAGCCCCTGCAGGGGGGCAAGCTTTCTCCAGACCTCACCACATCAGGGGATGATTACACAATGCCATTAGAGGAGAATGGGAAAGAACATGGTACTCATCAACACTTCCAGGGCAGGATTAAGGTCAGCCAAACACACCCAGCCCATTTAGAGAATCATCTGCAATAGCGCAGAAGCTGTAAGCGTGACCTATGTTCGTTATTTTTTAATTACATGCTGTCATCGTTGTCTGTGGTGCTGCTTAACCATCGCCACCCTGATATAAAACTGTAATGCAAACCTTCACAAACCACTTACTGTTAGCTCATCTTCATCAGAGTTGAAGAGATTGTCAAGGTCAGTGTAGGAGACAACCAGGTCATTTTCGTGAAACAAACTAGTTGAGGCTGTGCGATTGTGAGGGGCAACGCGCTGGGCATCTAGTGCTGAAAGGAGAACAATCAATGGCTCAGCACTGGGCACTTAAAATTACAACAGTTTAACTACAGACACAATTCAATTATAGGCCCGACGAGAAAATAAGCAAATGTATTCTTCCAAATCTATCAGATGGTTCACATGAATGAATGCTAGAATTTAAAATAAATAGCCGTTTTACCTTGCTTGACTGAAGGGCTAAAAAGAGACATTGCATCTTCTCCAACACTGGGTGCCCCATCTTCAGTCTGGGAGGAAAAAGGGAAATGGCAGCATAAAAGAAGATGCATCTACTCCACGTGAATCTTTCATAGAGAAAGCTGCCTTTCGCTGAGCAGAGTTAATTATCTAACCCCAAACTGGAAGTGGGGTAGGGTGAGGGTTTTCTTTCCAACAGAAAAAAGGTCCTTCCCAGATCCAACTACTTGATGACGGTAAGACTGCATCTGGGGCCTTGAGTGTGATCTCTGGAGCCCCACAAGTAAAACGCAAGCCAGATGGAAAAGCAAAAGTCAGAAACAGAAGCTGATGCAGCTGCTCTCTGCATACTTCAAGGACTCCTCGTTCCCTATATACACAACCTGAATATGAGATGCATTTTATTCTCAAGCAGCTAGACCTCCAGTCATGGTGACCTCAATACCAAAAAACTGGTAATTTTGAACAAAGGCTTAGTTCTCTTCTGAGGTTTTGGGAATGGCCTTATCCCAGGACAGGCTGCCATGCCTTGCCTAGTATTCTCCATCATGTCTAATCTGCCTTCAACTGCCGCTCCTGAGTTCTAGGTAGAAGCATTCCTCATTACCTGCCACCTGATCCTTCTTCACTGGAGAAGCTCAGGGAACCTCCCTAGCAATGCTACATGAACACAGCCCGTGGATTCGCCATAGAAAATTGTACATTGGAAATGAACAGACGTGTGAACGCTTCAGGAAAAGGACTTCAAATAAAACCGTTTCCTGGGACAATCCTAGGCACCGATTCTTCATTAAGAGCAAGCATGGATTCCTCTTTCTGAAACTGTTGTTTTCCCAAGGTGTGCTTAACTGTGGCACATGCTGCAGGGGTTCTTATTTCCCTCTGAGCAGCGAGCTCCAGGTCCTTTCGCCACCTGCTTTCAAAAGCAGGTGACCGGGAGTTGAGGATTTGGTGGAGGAACATGAGCCCACCGTCTTTCTGGGAGCACTAACTGGGCGGCAGGGGCGGCGGAAGGGGGTGTTTCTCAGAACACCACGCGTGTGCACTTGAACACAGGAAGCGTCCTGGAAAACGCCCCCGGCCCTTTGCTGGGAATCCGCCTGCTGCGCCAGTTCGCCCTTTTCACTCACCTTGTGTTTTTTCCCAGCTTCCCGCTCACTGTTCTGCCTGTCCTTTTTATCAGGAAATGGGAATTCCTCATCGCCATCGACAAATGCATATGGGTCTGTTTCTGGCTCCTGGTCAGCCTCCATCGCCGAGAGATACTTATTCTTGCTCTGATACTGCTGCACCAATTCGTCAGAGACCTTCAGGGGTCTCCTGCACTGCACCATTAATCTGCAGGGTAGAAAAAAGACGGGGTGACAAGGGGACGTGGGAAGAGTGAAACTCCTTGGGGGATGGGATGTTTAATCATATCTCCCACTCACATCCTAATCCTACACTTCCAGATCACGTACATAGGATTTATCACGCTAAGAGGCGTATCCGAACGTAACCTAAAGTGATCCTGATAGTTTCAAATCCCTGCTTAGCCATGAAGTTCAGTCCGATGGTTAGCACTATACTGCCCTTCCCACCATCACCACCTTTAAACCCTACCTTTCTTCCTTTTCCGAAGAACCCAAGGTAGCTTACATCTTCGCCGTTTTATCCTCTCAACAACGATCCTGGAAGGTGGGTTTAGGTGCTACTGGGCAAAAGTCAGCCCAGGAGCTTCATGGCCAAGCAGGGACTAGAACCTGGATCTCCCAAGCCCCAGATCAGCACTCTCACCGTTATACCACTAATTCATGTGGCATCCTTCCTGCATACATTCTCAGGAGAGTTCCACAAGAGCTCTAGGTAACAATGGATTTTTTCTCCCTCTGTTTTAATATGGGTTAATACCATCTCAGTATTAAAAAAAAAGCTTTGTGTCCACATCTAATCAGTACATTGAAGGCCCATGGTCGTTCTTCTTTTACAACGCGATACAATTAGGTGCTGAAAAAGAACATCACTGCTCATGTCTCAGCCTTTGTTTTGTCTTACTAAAGTTCACCAATACCAAGGTGTTGACAATTAACAGTTTACTTGTATACTGAACTGTGATACATTGATTATTGGCCTCCAGAACTGGATGCGCATGGAAGATGCCACAAATGGTGCAAGACACATCCAAGACTAGCACAAAGGCCAAGATCCAAAGAGTTACAAGAACCAAATTACTCCTGCAGTAACACAAGCTGAGAAATGATGCATAATGGAGTCTGTCAAGGGAAAAAAACCTCTTGCTATATAAGATGAAAACTTATGGTACACAGTCATCTAAGACCTGCAGAGTAATATTTTATGGATGGTTATATGTTTCACTACCTTTAAGTGGCAACATTTATTCTAAAATAAAACCTAAGCTACTTTTTCCAATGCTGAAGATATCTATCAAAACATAAAATTTATATAATCCTAAACCAATAATAATTAATCTGATACCAAATGGAATTGTCTTGGAGTATTATTCATAACTCAGCACTGTTAGAGTGCAAGTTTTGCCATAAAAAGGGGCTTACAACTCTCAGCAAGGTTACGCTAGCTGGGGCACGCTATGAGCTCTAGGCCCTTTTTCTGACTAAATTTGAACAGGATTGTCCCTTTAGTCCTCTGCCACAAAAACCACAAGGCTAACAACTTATTTATGGCATAAGCTTTTGGCAACTAGAGGCTACTTCTTCATCTGAGGACATGGACTCTGGCTTACAAAAGCTTAAACCACAGCATTATTCCAGGGACCAAAGGTTTCAGGAAGCCAAGGTGCTCTTCCAACCAAAGTTTTGATCTCCTAAATCTCACACAAAGAACAACAAGTAAAGGCACTCTTCTCATGGTCCAAAGTTTCCACCAATTTCTGCTGTAGAGTCTTTTGTGCATCAAGATCAGAGGCTTTCCTGGAAAATAGACCAGTACAATGGTAGATGATAAGTAACAGGAGTAGTTATCATCATTGGCAAAAGGCCTGTTGGGATTTGGCTAAGAACAGGGGAGTAGGTGGATGCTGAGCAGATCGAGCAAGACCGTTTTTATGATACCCCTGAACCAGAAAGCAGCCTCAGATCCTCCTATATGGCTCAGCGCCTAGAGACCTCCAGTGCTAAGGACCAATTTTGTCCTAAGAGCTACCAACAGGGCCTTCAGGTGACAGCAGATCTAGAAGGCTATTTACGGTGGAAGGGGGAATTGATGTTCTGCCATTGCTCTCTCAAAGCGGCCCTCCAGGAAAACTAACTGCTGGTCAAGAGCCTCTGCAAGAAGCCAGGGCGTTTCTCACACAGCACAGACCTATTTCTCACGATGCCAGTAAATTTCTGTCTGAGCTGCAGTACTTCAGGAAGCAGGTGCAGCTTTCATGACTGAATGCTCTTCTGCAGAGAACAAAAAAAGAGCCTCTGCATATGGAAAAAAATATCGCAGGGAACAAGTCCCAGCCCAGCCTTTCTTCTAGTTTTATACAGGCGGGGAATAGATTCAATCATGCAGGTCTCCACCCACACAGCCTTGGAGCAGTAGGTCAGCCATGTTAAGGAGATAAAACAACCTCGGAGCCAGAAAGTGAGAATGAGAGCACACTTCTAGGTACTTTATACTTCTGCGAACCATTAGAGACGTGCAGATATACTTGCTCTATTTCAGGTTTGGCCATTTGGAAGTAGCTCTTCCAAACCCTCACATAATCTGAAAAGAGCTCCACAAGTTGGACTTTTCAGCCTACTCTCCTTTGGCCACAGAAACATATTTGATCAAGTCCGGTATTAGGGATCTTCTCAAACTGTTTCTCCAGGCAGCAACAAACTGGGCACAACTGAACGGTAGAGACAGCTGGCATTTCCATCATCAAGCTTTTGGACTGCCCTCCTGAAATTTGACAGAGCCCACACACCGGCGGTTTTCAAAATGTTTTCCTTCTTAGCTTCCCACGTGTACTTATTTTCTGAGGAACCCGTGGCATGCTTGACCGGGAACCCCAGTGCACCGCAGAAGATTTGCCGGAGCCTGCTGAGCGAGTTTCACTGCTACTGATCCAGATATTTAAAACATTTTACCCTGCCTGTTCCTCTGGAAAAAAAAGCTTACATCAAAAGCTATCAGGAGCAGCCACTTCAAACATTAACGCTACCAACAGGCAGTAGGTAATATAATAGGACACAGTGGCACAAAATCACAAATCTAAATCAAATGCCCAGTAGGTCTGTTTGAACATGGTTGTTTTCAGCTTCAAACAAGCAAATAGGGAGGGGATGAAATGGATCTCGCAAGAGAAGGCATTCCACAACCTAAGCAGGAACAGAGTGGGCCTGATCATGTAGCTTTTCAGCCAACTGAACTTCAGGTGCATCAAGGACTCTCAAGATGTCCTGCAGACACATAAGGTAGGTAAGGTAGGCTATCCTTGAGGCATCCTAGTTCTAAGACATTGAGACAAAGGGCAAGGGTGCACAGGAGGCAGTTTTTGGACTTCAACTCCCAGAGGCCCCTGCCAGCATGGCTAACTGTCAGGAATGCTGGGACTTGGGAGTCCAAAACTTCTGGAGATCTACTGTCTTCCCACTCCGGGCATAGAAAGTACTAAACTGCTGCTCATTGTTAAGGGAAAGAACAGTAGTGGCTGGCAAAAAAGATCTTTCAGGGAAGTAGGCTCACCGTTATTCATCATTTAAAAACCTGCTAAGCTGCCAAGATACTCCAGAATTCCTCAGAATGCAGCCCGAAAATCACTGTCGTACGTAAGGAAGATTTTTTAAATAGACTTCGTTCAGAAGTAAAACAACTTTATGGAAATAGGACATCACAAGAGAATTGCTGGTGGTACGGTTTTGTTTACTTAACACCTGCCTTCAAGATAAGCTAGCAAAGGAAACACATTTCCTGCCTCTTGAACAAGAGGAAAATGGCAACAGAATATTATTCAGAGTTTGGAAACGTAGCTGAGAAACTATGAGATGAAGCTTAAGGATGGGAGACAGTTGCAGGGAGCACCCAAAAATTCCAGTTGGCTTTAAAAATAACTCCAAAGTGGAGCTAAAGAAATGCATAGGTTTGGTTTCCTGCGCTTGTCATGGCATCGGCCCACCCAAGGAGCTCTATGAAATTCCATGCTACTGATACGGAGGGAAGAGAAACAATGCAATCCGTGTCAGAAGGATTGCTTTTATTCTTCGAATGAAATGAAGAGTTAACTAATCTTGTTTCAAATCCCTGGTTCAAGGTGTAAATGCCACTTAAAACCAACAATTGCAGGTGGGCTCTGCCATTCCCTTTCAACAACTTGCCCAGAGGCAATTAAGCTTGTGCCCTCTCTTATCTCTCTATTTTCATATCATGTTGTCACAGCAACAGCTGCAAACATCACTTATGATGGAAGTATTCCAAGGCAGACACAAGAGATGCATGTACTTGATGCCCATACATTTCAGGCAAATGCAGTTCTTCTGAGATTCAGTAGCAGTCAAGGGCATTTAAGTTCAGAATTTGTTAGATAGTGTGGGGGGATCACAAAGAGTTTGCCATGGAATGCTTTGCAAAATGAAAATGCTGGGGAAATATGACCCTAATAGACATGCAGAATCCAGAATATGACTCCGCAGATAGCTCTCTCCCCTCTCTTATGAATACCATCAATATTCATAAATGGTTGTTGTCACACTGTCAATTGTAGGTGTACAGCAAGGAAGTTTTAAGCGTGCACTGGAGAACATTTAAGTGTGGACAAAGTTGATAAGCGTGTGTCATACAAATAAACTCATTACTGATCCAAGTTCCAGCAGGGAGCTAGAGCCAATATAGTTTCAGGAGCAAAATTAAGGTTCGCCACTATGTAATTGCACAAAAAAAGCCTGTTGTTTGCTCTGCAGAGGCACCCAAGAGGAATTATTTCCCTCTCCCTCCCGGCTAAGCGTCAGAGACACAGACAAATGCAAAAGATCACTCACTTGCTCACTGTCTTAGGCTGCCTTGCCAAAGAGGCGGCTTCTTACAGGAGGATTCAGACACTAACAGGTGCCCCTGAAAGAGGAGCAGAGAGGAAACAGCGGCGCAAAATCATGCCAACTGCCAAGAAGGCTGTGAGAAGTTCTGACATCCGAGTGCCAAACCACACCTTTGGGAAGCAGCCCATGCTCAATTTGGACTTTCGGGACTGATAAGAGCCGGAGACCTCTTCCTACTTGCCCAGTTAGTTGTATGTGTAACAGAGGCAGGCGCACCTTAAATGAATGTGAGGGATGAGAAAGGGGGCAGGGGCCCCAAAAGGCAGCAGAGAGGGAGGCGACTGAGGATGCTAGTGCTGCACAGTCGTCTTCCGTCCTGGTGGGATGATGGACAAATCCCCACATGCTGGCAACTGCCCGGTGAGGAATGGATGACAGGAAAGCAAGCAGGCAGAACACCATTGGCCTAACAAAGAAATATGCATCTAGCCACGCAGTCCCATGCACAAGACCTGCTCCTCACACATAAACTTCAAAAAATAGACCTTGAGGGGGGAGTGTAAGACAAATCTTAGGATTGTTTTCCCCTCTTTCCCACCATCCTATCCATATTTGGAGTCTCCACCTATATGATCAACCTTCATTTACTTTAAGGACCCATTTTGTATCATTTATAACTTTGTTAGCTATCCGGAGCACTTCGGATAAGCCAGGATATGCCTTTCTGCTGATAATTCAAAATCAAAGAGAAGGCTCTCGAGAGATGCAATCGTCATGGGGTAGGAGGAAAGTGAGGAAGTTCAAAAAGAACTGAGCTGCACTTCAAAATCTGGTGAGAAAAGATTTCCTCTTTTCATTCTACCGATTCCAATGCATTGCATACTTCATTATAAGCTTAGAAGTCTGGAATAAACCTCAAAGGGATGTAACTTAGGACTGAAGTGAAAAAGATTTTGAGAGGAAATGGTGATAAAATCATATAAACAACTACTCTTCTAGCAAAGCACACAGAGAGGTGCCAAGTCCATTTTCAGGAATGCGTGACAATCCCCAGTCAGCGAGTCCTCTCAGAAGGAAAATCTGAATAGCATCAATGAATGGTCAGTTCTACAGTGGACTGATAAAAAGCCACTTGGGCACTACCCAGCAGAGAATAAGAACCCCCTCCGAGCAAGGATGTATGACAGAAGTCACACGGACATGTTCAAAGGAGTCCATCTAGTCCAGAGCTATTTTCTGGAGTGAGGCAAGCTTTGTACAATCTTCGGTAAACCTCATTTCCAGCTCCTCCCTTTAAGTGGAAATGCCAGAATCTTTTATATCCAAACTTTGTGCTCTACTACTAAGATGCCATCGCCAGCCGACATGTCAATGGTACAGCCGTTCAAGCCCTCCAGCACCTGAATCCACAACCTCTCCACTCCCGAAATAACAAACACGACAATAAACAAACCAGAGTGGTGGCAGTGACGGGGAGTGTAAAAATGACTAACACGGAAATGGTATGAGGCTATTTTAGGGTACACATCTTTGGTGAACTTATTTAAGAAACTGATTTACAGAACCTGTGGCCCGGGGGGGGGCAACTTGTGGCCCCCAGATTGTCTGGCCTACAGTTCCCATCATCCCTTACATTCTCCATCTCTGTTCTAGCTCCTTGAGAATAATCATGTATAATAAATCACAATATAGGAGTAGCCAACTGAAGTTTTTGCCTGCTTTTAAAATTAAAACTGCAAAACTCAGGTATAACACACAGTTGATTGTGTTTTGTATATCAAGAGCAATGGAATCATTGATTACCTTGCTGTCCCAAGCAGCCTACAGAAAAGACAGTAAAGAAAGCTTTAAAAGACCCAGCTATGTAAGAAGCAGTGCTCATTCTTACTGCTCTGAATTGAATTGACTTCCAGGAGCACGATTTCAATGCATACATGCTGACAGGCCAAAAATATAGAATTTTTACTACTATTACAGCTTCACTACTCATATAGAAATAGTTTGACCTGTTGAATTCGAGTGCCAGCAATTAAAGCGTCTACAGAAAAGCCACCACGCCCCCCCTTTTGAGCAGCGTTACAATGCAGTGCAAAGCAAAATAATCTTCTCATCCAATTCAAAATGTGTTATTTTGATTCCAGAGTATGGCCATTTCCAGGCTCCCATTAAAAGGATAAAGCAGAAACGGGCAAGAGTAAAACCCTGGATCCCTCAGTTTCCCGATGCTCTCCGTCCTGGAGCAAAAGATTTGTAACACCTGTAGTAAGAGATGTGGTTTGAGACATGGATTTTGTTTTTAAGAGCAGGAACTTAAGATATACTTACTCTGTAGCAGATGGTAAGTTCTCTGACCCCGCGGATCCCACAGGGTCATCCCTAAATTTTTCACTTGGCAGTGGCGGCGGCAAGAAATCCAAATCCTTTTTCTTTGGAACCTTGTAATACTTCCACATGCAATCCGCATCTTCTTCCTCCAAATTCACGGCTGTACCAACATACATTGTGGGCTCTATAACTTCTGCAAAGGACGCTGGGAAAGTCTGGGACAAGCCTTCTGTCCTGTCTTCCATTGCTTTTGAAGGAACCAATGGATCTGGAGTTGGCATCTGATAGAAATGCTGGCTCTGGGGCGTGGAAGGGGTTTTGGTTGCCGCCTCGTCAGCAGTGTCACAGGGGTGAGGACTGAGGGGGGGCGGCTGGGGAGAGTTTGCCATCTCTGTGCCATGCATCTGAGGGGTCTTGGCCACGTCATTAGTTCTGAGATTTGAAAACCTCACTTGGTTATCTGAGGTGGTGATTACAAGCCTCTGATTGGCTGAGTCTGCCTCCAGAGCAACATCGTCACAGACAGACACGCGGTGGTGAAATGGAGTCAAAGGACGCTTCTGGGGCTTGTCTCCCTTCTCCTGTTTCTCGTTCGCCTTGTGCTTTGGAGCGGCTTGCTGCTGCTGGCTGGCAGAAGGCACCGGCCCCTGCTGAATCCCGAGTCTTGGTTTGATATTTTTGTGCCTAAAGTGGGAGGGAACAAGAGTAGGCGCTGTAACATCTATATTTTAACTGAAAGCCAAACAAAGTCGGATAAGCACCACACAGAAAATAAACCCAAGCAAATCATGCCAATAAACAGGCGTAACATTTAACTACAGCTACTCTGCTGTGCTTTGTTCCCTTAACAAAGGGGCAGCGGGGAAGAATATGAGCAAGGAGAATGGTTAGCCTTTCTTCGCTTCCCCTCCTTCTGGATCTTCGCTTCTCTAGCCTTAATCTTAGCCGGGGTGCCAAACATACAGCAGATGCCCAGGCCTTGGACAGATGCAGGGCACCATCGTGTAATAGGCCAGCCGCTTCACGAGCGGACAAGCTGAAGAGGCGGCCAGGTGATCTTGTTCTGTACAGACGGAAAGAGTATCCGTCAATGTAAGTCACTGTAAGAACATTTACAGACAATTCAAAGCATGGATTCACCCCCTGATTTGCACTAGTTCTTAACTGTGGCTTAGGCATACAGATGTAAGGCTTAACCACGCCTAAGCATTATGCTGGCACAAGGAGCACATCTGCCTACAACTAAACCAGGTACAGTTGCCAGTGTCGGGCTTTTATGACAGAGTAAAGAGACAGCAGGCGGGGAGAGAGAAAAGCAGGAGGATTCTGCTTCTGGTAGCTTTTCCCCTGCCCCGTTTGCCAGAGTGTCTACCACCTACTGCCCTGTGGGAAAGTGTCAGGAGGAAAGGGGAAGGTGGGCAGGAAAAGCGCAAGATGCGTACGCCTACCCTCCCTGGGCTGGTTTCGATTTAGTTTGGAGTGTTAGCTTTTAAAGTATTTTAAAGTGTTCCACCTTGTTAATATTGCAAGTCACTTTGAGGACTTCCACCAAAAAGCAGGACACAAATCCACAAGATAAAGTTTGGAAAAGATTATGTGCACAATGTCCCATCTCTTAAGAGACTTTTCTCTCTAGGAAAGTGTCATAAAAACACAAAATAAGCTAAATACTGTACAGATACCCAACAGCAGGCTCTGACTGTTTTGCTGGCTTGCGAAAATGGGCCCTGAAAGATGTTCACATATTTTTGCATATTATGACCAAGTGTACCTTGAGCAAATGCAATTTGTCCTCTGTGTAGCTTCAACGAAGTCCCAAAATGCTATTTTGTCAGCCGTCTCCTCTTCACATACGCCGTTTGACGTGGCAGAGTACTTCCTTCTACAGCACATTTAGGGAGAAATTGAGTACACTAAGTTACAAAAATAGTAAATTAAAAGAGAACAGGAATCTTGTGATGGTCCCAGAGAGTTTGAACTTACGGAGAGAGACTTCCCTATTCAATCAATTTCAAAAATACTTTATTTTCAAAGAAGCTGTATTTCAGTCATTCCGGCAGGTTTCTTGTCCTGTGTTATTACCCATGGCCCCCACAGCGGCCATCTTGTGGTGGTGCCGAGGGCAGTCTCGAATTGCTGGATGCGTCCATAGACCCCCCCACCCAAAATTATCCCAAAACAGACAATTGAACCTCCATGTGGAGAGGCAGTCTATTTCTGGCTACTGGGTGCAGAGGGACTGGCATCACCTATGTCTTGCAAATGCTCTCCAAGACACCTGCCTGGCCACTCTCAGTAAAAAGGTGATGGCCTAGATGGACTTGGGACTTGTTAAGCTCGGAAACTGTTGTGTCCAACGGTTGTGCCCATGCCTTTTGTGCACACTCCCCGGTGCCCCACTTTTAAAAGGAAACTGATAGAGAAGAGACCTTCACTACCTAGTCCCCGATCTTCCTGCCTTCATTTCTAAAAGTCGGTCAAATCCTAGAAAAACAATGCCCCTTTCCAAACGCTTAACTGTTAAGCATAAGCTGCTCCAATCCTCTTCTTTGCTCCCATCTCCCTAAACGCCAAAACCTCATCAGCCGGGAAATGCAGGCAAATTGCAACTGACTAATTCAGCAACAAAAAAGAAAACGATAATGCAATATCATATCAAGTCCTGGCAAGCTCAAGAAACGCGGAGAGTTTGCAACAGTGCAAATTCATTCACAGCTCGATCAAAGATTAATCTTTAAAAATACTGGGATAAATTAATGCTGAGTGTGCCTGCTGATATTTAGAGAAGGTAATTAAGGAGATGATGGGCTGGGCAGAGATAAAATCAGGATGGTATCTCACACACTTCTTTGCTCAGAGTCCAAGAAGTTCCTCGCTGGTGATTGGGAATTTGGCATGTTTTTCCATGGTAAAAGGGAGGTATCAGCTTCTCTAGGAAGAGAGGTAAAAATTTCCTCGGTAACTGCCAAGGCAAGGGTGAGATACTAAGGAACGACAAGTTGGTCTAAACAGCATGTACATTTTTTTTACTCTTCTTAAAGTGCGTTGCTTACATTATTAAAGCAACCATGTGTGGTAGGGTCCATGTTCTTGTTGTATTGATAGCTACTTTGGTATATTTGTTTTACTGTTAGGTTGGAACCGGGGAGATCAGGTTTCTAGACCTCACTTGCCCATTGAACCAGTCACTGACTCTCGACCTGACCCACCTCATAGGGCCGTCGTGACGAAAAAAGGCAGAGGTGGAAGAGGACCTTGTAAGCTGCTCTGGCTTCCTTGCAAGGGGAGCAAAGGCAGGATATTTAAGTTGTAATAAACCCACAAAATATTGCAGAGAGGCAAGTGCAACGTATAAACTTACTTGCCCCTCTTTGCAAATAAGATAAGGCAATCTTATTTTATTGGCTGAAGATAAGTTCAGCCAAGGCCGGAACTTAGAGCCCGCATGTTTCACGGCTTCATCCAAGCCACCTCTGCCGTGGGTGAACTTGCAAAACACACACTCTCAGGGACGGACCCAGGTTGTGCAGCGAATTGTAAAGGGTAAACATAACCAGGAAAGAAAAGCTATTCAGGGGGAGATGACTGAAGTAATGCCAACAACCACTCCTTTGGTTTGAAAGGATAGTGGGGAAGGAGAGAAAGAAAGCCAGAAGAGTTTAGCCCTCCTGGAGGTGTATGCAAAAGCCCAAGCTCAAGGTGGGAACAGCTGCAGGCTCACAATCCAGGGCTTAAAAACTGAGAAGCTTTTTGCCTGGAAAGAGTGCCAAAAAAGCACCAAAGGATCAACGCTTCCAGTCCTTGGAATCCAACCCCTTCTGCATCTGTCACTTTTAGCCTCCTCCAACATTACTACTTCTCTGAGCTACCTTTTTTAAAAAAATCCTAAACCACATCCACCAATTCAGCAACATGTCCAGCCTTGGTTGAAGAAGCTGTACTCCATTTTAATTTCAGTTCATATATATACTCATGTGTCGTACTTTGTCAGGGGTCTGTTCATACTGCATTCCTGCCAGACTCTGTCAACCACTTGATTGGCCAGCTTCCGCGGAATTCGGCCACCATGGTGGCTAGTGCTATCAGAGCTGAATACGTCTGAAACAGAAGACAGCTTCACCCACTTCTGGGCTGAGCGAGCATCAACTGACGATAAAGAAAAAAGCCAACAGAGGAATTCATTAGCTCTTGCATGCCATTCACTCCATTTCCCCAAACAGAAATGCAAAGACACAAGCCTTATCAATGAGACAAAATTACTTGAAACGGGTATCAAATTAGAAGCAACTCAAGTGCTGGCAGGCATTATGTACATTACAGGCAAAGTTCGGCAACTCAACATTTTATACCATCGCTTGCAGTATTAAAGAATTGCTCTAGCAGATGGCTGATCAAAAGGCAGGCAGAAGTGTCATAAAAAGGGCAGTTCCAAACATATACTAAACCGAGTCTTCAGTATTTACCACATAACGTTCTCCTTACAGAACATTATACAGTACATATTGGTTAAAACAAGGAAAATGTTTTGCATTCAGAATTATGTGTCAGAAATTACTAGCAATCATAAGAAGGTGCCTTCTTATAATTTCCTGCATGTTTATTAGTTGCAGTTTTCTAGCTTTTTTGCTACTGAAAAATGTACTAAATTGTTAGCTCCACCGTTTTAAGCGTGGACTGCACCTTCTCTGGGCTCTGGAATTCAGGGAATAGAAAGCTCCGGGCCCTGCATTGCACCGTATCTTTTCTTGGCATGTCACAGTTGTGGATGAAAGGAAGAAAAGGCAACCCAGAGCACAGGAAGCTAATGGCGTTCTGTGAAATTTCTGACATGTAAAAACCACGAGGCATGAGCAACAGTGGTGCCTCTGAACACAGGGGGCTCTGGACCGAATCAGGACAGGCCTGAGACAACAGCATCAACTGCTTTGTCCACGTGTTACTCTTGTCTTGACCGGTAGACCAGAGGTGAAATTATTGTTGGCCCTTTCTGTCATTTTCTTTGAGCAGCCTTGGAGGCCCTTGTTCAGGCCAAAAGGTAGTACAGAAACGTTTAGATGGATATATAAATAAATGACATAGAGTCCCCAGGGCTGGAGGGTTCCAATTTCACTTCAGGAGACTTGCCAGAATCCATTGGCACTAATAATTACTTTACATGTTGCATGGTAGGTTTTCTTCTTCAGAACAGCACAAGTTCCCCTACTTTGGAGGTGTCAAAACAAGGCTGGTTCCTAGAAGCCTCTGTTCAGGCAGAGGAAGATTCTCTTGTGCCGTACCTGTTTGAACTTCTTCTGGGGATGTAGGTGGAGTCAGAGTAACAGAGGACATAGCTGCGTCTCTTGTGGAAGCAGGCACTTGATGGGCACCCAAGCAGGTGCTCGACCCAGTAGTGCTAGGAGCAGGAATGTCTGTCTGAGGAACTAGAACAAAGCATGCTGGATAGACCATTCTCACGCCAGCTTAAAAATAATTGGGAAAAAGAAGCAGAGTTTAATCATGATACCATGTATCCCAGCCACTAAAGACATCACAAGACAGACTGCTTTTTATGCCTCGCTTTTATATTTCTCCTTTCCCCTCAGAACAGCATGCCTGGCCCAACGTCCCCCAGCCAGCTCTATGGCTGAGCAGATTTGGAATAAAGGTCCACCAGCCATTATATAAGCAGTGTTGCTAATCACCGGGGCTTTTCATTAGCTATTTCAGAGCCACTAAACGAGAAGATCAGTAATGATGAATTAGCTTTCCGAAAACAGAACGTGCTCATCACTGCCAATTTGCCCCGTGAAACCAAGAAAGGACTCAGTTCCAGCAGAGCAAGGAGGCCTGACCAATCGGACTGCCACCACCCATGAGACAACGCACATTCTATCATTTGCCCCAGCGTTCTCTGCAAGGTGGAGAGACTTAGCAGACACGTAGGGGGGGCCCTTGGTGGAGAGCCAGTGTCGGAGGGATGCCTCAGAGACAGAACATTTCAAAGCCAACACACTACAGTATCACCCCAGCTCCCTTCAATTTCAGCAAAGGCTCAGTACTGCCACCCTTGTTCAACAGGTGATCGTTTCTTACAAGCCTCAAGGAACCGCTTAACATAGCTGAAGAGTCGCCCAGTTCCCCTTCCTCAGAGCAGAACCACAGAAGGCCTGCTGAATGATTCGGAAAACTGAGTTCTGTAATGCATGGCTTATGGTTCTCTTCAGCGATGAAATCCGAGACTATTTCCGCTCTCACATATAAATCGTAGATGGCCTCTCTCATTTTGCCCATGCCACAATTATTCTTCTGCCCACTGCTAGGCTAAAAGCATGTTACTTGTCAGTGATGCAATATAATTTATCTACCTTTTCTGTTCTTCGACTAAAGCAGTAAAACTCCCTGTCATCTTGGTTATAAATCCCAGTCTGCTTTGGCCTGTAACAATGCCACTCTTCTAAGTGAAGAAGCTTAAACTTTAATCCATCTCACTGCCATTCTTCTTCCTCGGGTTAGATAATGCTGCATACCCCAAATGTAGCTTACAATTCCTCTGACACTCAAAAGAGCAAAAGGGTTGTTTTCTCTCCCTGTGAGATCAGACTTGTAAATGTTTCTAGCTGGTCAGAGCTGAAACAAGCCATTTCTTACTATTAGCTATCTCCTGATCCTGCCCTTTTCTCCAAGGAGCTCAGGGTGGGACAGATGGCTCTTTCCCTGACTCTCCCACATCATTTTATCACTACGACAGGCCCGCAGAGTCAATTAAGCTGCGAGATCTATCGACTGCCCCAGTGTTACCCAGTGACATTCACAGTCAAGTGAAAATCCAGACCTGGGTCTTTTGGGGTCTAGCCTGACACTAATCGCAGAACACACTAGCACCAATCTTCTTAATAGAAGAAACAATATGGGAAACAAAACGGAAGGCAAGTTTCTCCAGTGTGTATCTGTCCGCAATCCTTAACTGCTCGCCTGAGCCCAATTTAATTTATTTGTGAAAAGACATTATGGGATTGTGTTGTTAATCTCGAACTCTCATGGATACTGGTCATGAGAAAAATCCTAAATTGTAACATTTTGAAAACATTCCTTCCACAGGTTAAAAAGATGAAAGCACGCAAAAATACACAGCGAGACAAAGAGATGCTTTGTTAGAATAGCCCAATGTAAATAATATCCTGTTCAGTCATAAACAAACAAACAGGATTACTGACCAGATTTGTACGACTCAGGTAAAATCTGAAAAGTACTCTAACTCACCCCATTCTCGTACTGATTTAAATCAATCCACTAAGCATAAAAGGTTATGTATGCGATGTGAGACAGACTTAAAGTCTTTGTTTTCTTATGGCACAGTAAAACTGTTCCAGATTTGCCTGCAACTACACCAGGTCATGCTCACGATTAAACTCCAGCTCAGCATCTGCTGCTTGGAACAGCACAACTGGTTCCCTACAAATGTGTACCGGGCTCTCCTTCTGGTGCGTCACAGGAGGACTGGTGCCTAGAGGGTTTCATCAGCTCAGCTACGCCTAGACACCCCGCCTGTTTCCACAGCCTCTGAGGCACAACTAAGCAGATCTGCAGGAACGGGAATGGAACTAACTGCTTGGAGCGAGCCAAAGTGCCGGTACTAGGTGCCCCCGACCCCAGAGAAGAGATCAATAATTCCTACGGCAGACCAATAAACATCTGCCATCAAGCCTGTTAGGAAGACATGTGTCCCTTTCCTTGGGAATCACTAACATTTCGGTCCAGCTTTGCCCCCCCACCTCAGTGACACCCCCCCCTTCCAAACACTGTGCTACAAAAATGTGCTCGAAGCAATTCATTTGTACAAAAAAAAGAGAATAAAACTAACTCTGTCTTACTAATGAAGACATTTCACTCGGTATAAACACCAGCAAGTTCCACCATGTGAGCTGTTATTATGAATCTCATAAAAGCAACAATGATATAATGAAGGCATTAAACACAGTCTCTCAGGAAGAGACTCTGTGCTGCCAAGCATTGGCGAAGTCCTCTTCGTTTTTATATTTCTTCTGCTACCTATTTACTTCAGCAACCACAAACTCTGACTGTTTAATTAGTCTGGTTAGTTTTAATGTTAACATATTCCACGATCAAATTGCCTGGAACCCTGTGTCCCTGTAACAATCCTTGTTCTGGGCATTTTATACTTGCTCCCTGTGAATCCAAACTGGTTTATCTTCTCGCTCTATATTTTGTGGCTTGTTCATAGTTTTAGTGCACCCTTTTCCAGCAAGTCTTTATTCCTTTATTATATGTTATTTATATCCCAATTTTCTTTCCTTGTGAACCTCAAGGTAGCTACATGTGGTTTGTCTGTTAGTTTATTGGATTTATACTCTCTCCCCCTGCTGCCCTCTGTCTTATCCTGGGAGGAAGGTTGCACTGAGGGTCTGCAACTGCCCGTAAGTCGCCCACTTGGCCGAGTGAGGACGAGAACCATCCCTCTTCACCACTACAATGAACTGGTGGTCTCCCCTCCAAGCTCAGGCCAGACCCAGACTTGCTTAGCTTCAACAGGGGGGATACCTTATGTGCCCTCAGACCATACTCTGGGCCAAGTCTTTACCCTTTTTTTAACCTCAGCGTTTCAAATCAAGAAATGAACGGAGCAGGCTCTCAGAACCAAGGAAATGATTCTAGCTTGTCCTTGTTTATAAGGGGGACAGAATTTTTATCTTTAGTAGCTACTCCTTTTCACCACACGATTCGCAACTCCTAAACTGAACCTTTGACACCACACTTGACAAGCAATATATATTTTACTAGAACTGCAATGTTTATTTTATTGTTCTAAAAACTCGTAATTAATCAAATAATCCCACATCTCTTTCAACACCAGTACTTACCATCAGAGTGAAACAGTAGGGATTGCTTTAAAAAAAGCATTACCCTTTTCTCCTACGGAGGACAGAATGCCATTTCTAGAAAGACGGCTGACTTGCATCAGCCAAGTTCACATTCACAAGCCTGAAAGCTACATTAAACCCTTCATAAATAATAATCAAGGCTATTTCATTTGTTTGGGATATCATAAAAAAGCTTTCCTACCAACAAGGACTTCCACAGCAGCAAGAGAGTCATCCTCCCAATCCATTTCTTCCTGTTTTTCCTCCAATCCCTCTTTCAGGCTCGACGCAATCGGATAGAACTGCTTCCATTCACCGATCAGTTTTTTTGTAGCCGAATCAGACAGCTTGAAGGACTGCCCCGTGAGTGTACCATTTAATCCAAATGGGCTTAGAATAACTAGAAGTTACAAAAAGGGAGGAAATTTAATGCTTTTGCCACAGAGCTCCTGTAGTATATGCCGAAAGATGGCTGGTGTGTCACAGATGACTAGCCTTAACTCTGTATCAGCATATAGCCTAGTAAAAATGGAGAATATATTAGGATAATAGCTACAAGAAGAGCTCAGAGAATCCTAGAATAGCAAAGTCAGAAGAGGCCAGAAGGCCATCAGGCCCAGCCCCTGGCTCAGTGCAGGACTCCGAGTTAAACCATCCCTGACAGACGGCTGTCTAGCTGCATCTTCAATGCCTCTAGTGTGAGACAACCCATAAACTCCCAAGCTCTTGGGTTCCATTCCTGTACTGCTCTAACAGTCAGGGAATTGTTCCTGATGTCTAGCTGGCTTCCCGTAACTTGAACCCATTATTCTGTGTCCTGCACACTAGGATGATCGAGGAGAGATCCTTCCTCTTTGTGACAAGTACTGGTAGAGAGCTATCATCTCACAGTCTCCTCTTTGAGATGAAACATGCCCCCAATTCTTTCAGTCTCTCCTCACAGGGCTTCCTTTCCAGTCACCGGGTCATCCGTATTACCCTCCTCGGAACCCTTTCCAGGTTCTCTGTGTCTTTATGAAACGGTGGTGCCCAGAACTGGACACAGGACTCCAGGTGAGGCCTCACCAGCGCTGAGTATAGAGGAGAACCAGCACTTCACATGTCTTCTACTAGTGCAGCCTAAAACAGCATTTGTCCTTTTCGTGGCCACATCACATATTCAACTTAACTCATGCTCAACTGGTGATCTGCAACCATTCCAAGATCCTTCTCACTCGCAGCATCGTTGAGCCACGTATTCCCCATCTTGTAACAATGCATTGGGTTTCTTTTTCCTAGGTGCGGAACTTGGCATTTGTCCCTATTGAATTTCATTCTCTTGCTTTCAGCCCAGCACTCCAACTGATCAAGACACTCATTTCTCGGTATTAACTATCCCACCCATGGAGGGTTGTTCCAGTCATACAGCCCATTTCCATGGAGGGTAGCCAACGCCTGGGAATTTTCCCCTCCCACGCCCCAGAAGGGCTGGAAGAGAATTTTACTTAAGACAGGCTTCAGTGGCTAAGGAGGCAGCAGGAAGCTTCAGGGGAAACATTCCAGTTTAGAATATTTACATAAGCCTGCAAGATAGGACAGGATAAAACATTTATTTAGCCAGTGTAACTGGATAATTGTGTGGGTTATCATGGGCAGCTCCAATTCTCTGTACATTCCTCAAAAACTGATTGCTAGTTAATATAGCAGGAGGTTACACCTTCCCCACCCACTCCCATATCGCTTAATACACACGGGGACGGAAAGTCCACCTCCAGGCATTTCAAGCTTCAACATCCAGTTTTCCTGACCAATGATCATGCCAACAGAGACTTGTGGGAGCTGAAGTCCAAAGACACTGGCAAGCTACTTTCTGCTTACAAAATCTGGCAGTTATTCAGACACATTACATGAAGGAGCACAATTAACCTTGGACTTAAATGCTCCCACCCCACCCCTTCACACTAAGATCAGTCTCTTCTAAACTTGGCCTGCAGCATATCAGATAGCCCACCATGCTCAAACCATAGTCTCCTCTAATCAAATGCAGACAAATTCTGAGGGGATCTGTTGGTGACACACAGGTATGTGATGCGGTGCCACATGGAGGTGGGTAGAGCTTTGCAGAGCAAAGCTCAGGGAGCCAAGGTACCATTTGGATGCCAGGAAGCATTTCCTGACAGTTAGGACCCTGAGGGTATGGAATGGGCTTCCACGGGAGGTGGTTGAGGTCCCATCAGTGAGGGTGTTCAAGGATAGGCTAGACAGGCACATGGTAAGGATGTCACGAGCGAGCGGAGCCGGCTGGAGCCGGGGGTCAGACTAGATGGCTCGGGAGGCCCCTTCTGACTCGCTCAGTTTCTATGTTTCTAAATCAATTTGCAAGCTCCAAACAAGCTCCAATAAACATTTCCCTGTTTCCCTGTTGCTAACATTGGTATGTGATCAGGTATGCCAACTCAGGTCTTGCCTCCTGCTATGTCTTAACAACTCTAAACCATGGTTCAATGTTATGGATAGTCTCTTAACTCTGACCAAGTTTGAAACCTCTCCAGAAGTATGTTGTCTAAAGTTCCAGAAATAAATAACTGAATGCCCTTCTTTAATTAACAGGATAGACCATACTGTGCTGCAGTACGAAGCCACCCTCTGCTGGTGATTTCGGGACAAGGACTTATTGTCCCTCATTAAAATGTATGTGTACCGAAGCAGTGTGAGTTATGCAAGAATCAGTGTACCAGAACAGCAGCTAGAAATTAATGCAACTGAACATCTGACACAGAAGCTCGTCATAAGAGCACAGTGACAACAATAATCTGGTTTACAGGACAAAGCGATTTGAAAATTAAAAAGAAATGGAAGACCAGTGCTATTAAATGAAGCTAACCCCGAAAGCTGCTACTTACAGATCAGAGTGCAGTTCTTTAAAAATAAAAGAGGGAAAACCTGGTAACAGAAGACTGGTGTTCTCTGAAAGCGCAATAAACTGGTCTATGTTAGGAAAGTTACCCTTCAACAGTTGGCAGCAGCCAGGAGACAGCTGAAAAGCCACTGAACATATGGCTATTCTTCAACCTACACATAGAAGAACCAGTCAAGATTTAAAAAAAAAAATGTTCAGAGCCCTTCCAGGAATAAACAGATAAAGATCCATTTAATGCCATGGGGTTCCAGGATTTACTACAGCATTTGGGGCCAATAGTCAAGATTTTTAACACAACAGACAAACACAACAAGAAGAGCTTATTATCTAAGATTTTACGTTGATGGAAGGCTCAAGTTCTGCAAAAACATTTGTTTTAAGGAATCAGGCTTAGAGTAAGGCAAGCAGCTAACCCATTTTTCACATTATCAAAATGTAAATACAGGTCGGCCATCAAATGAAATGTACACTCAGAGAGGAGAAACGAATCAAAGTGGTGTCTAAGTATACATGTGCGATACACTGGACATTCCTATTTTAAAATATAGTAAGTATACATCAAAGGGGTGTGCACATGGGCACACGTGGGCTTGCCTGTCTGTCTGTCTCACTTTCTCAAAAATGCTACATGAAAAACAGCAAGTCTTGCTTAAAAAGGCATGTACTGCCCTCCAGTACACAGATTCTCGCCATGTTTTCCAAGCGCACACGGAGCAGCTTTGGACGACATGCTCGTGGCTCATCACGGATTATTTAACTTTCAACAAGCTGTGGCCCACGTGGGCACCGGGTTGCCGCATGAGAATCCAAAACAACCCTACATAACCCTAAACTGAACCGTGAGACGCGCTCACGGGGCTTGCATGCTGAAAATGGGAGCCATGATGCACAGGCTCAGTAAATGTGTGTGTGAACACCCCCACTGGGACCTGCAAACCAGACAAAGCGGAAAAGAAAGCAAAGACCAAATGCGAAAGGCTAGCAACCAGGCAGCAGAAGTGCCTGCAAATCCACTAAGATCGCCCAGTTCAAGATCTCCCTGTGTTCCTTATCTGATACGAAGAGGCCCTACTCCGGGAACCCTCTTTGAAAGAGATCAGGAGACAGAGTACTCGGAGGAGGGCTTTCTCTGCGGTGGCACCACGACTGTGGAATGCGCTCCCCAGAGAGGTCCGCCTGGCGCCGTCATTATATGTGTTTTGGCGTCAGGTTAAGACTTTTTTTATTTGATCAACATGTTAATGTCAACTAATTTTAACTGTATATGATTTATTTAATTTATTTTAAATACGTCAGTTTGTGGAATAGCTAATTTATTTTGTTTAGGATTTAGAATATTCTGTAAGCCGTCCAGAGACAACAGTGATGGACGGCCTAAAAATTTCCTAAATAACTAAAATAACTGAACCGAGAAGATGCAACCTCCAAAGAAACCTACCTTGGAAAGGACTGTTAGACTGCTGAGCCATGGTGAGATGCTCTTCGCTGACAAAGTACACGGGCTGGTGCTGGTTGATTTCCACGCTGGTGCAAACATTGCTGTCCCCGTGCAAGAAGAAAGTGAAGGAGCAGGACAGGTGCTCGCTGAGGAAGAAGCAAAAAATATCAAGTCCGTTAGCACATGGAGGTATCCTAAGAAGAAACAGGCTAAACAGCATTTAATAGAATGGGGGAAGGGAGGATTCCTAAGAAATTTGATTCACCTGCTGGAACAAAGGGGGGGGGGAGAGATGCTTATTTTTGCCCTGCCCTAAACAAGTGTCCAAAAATCTTCAGTTAAAACTGTACTATCTGCATCTCTCTCGAATCATGTCATGAGGCCAAGATTACATCATTTGATAAAGAGCAGGCGTGGGCAGATGGGAGATACAGAGGTACAGGTGGGTCTCTGGGTGATATATAACACAACAGCAAAGGTCCCGGTGGTTTAAGAAGAGCTACAAGGAAAGCATTTTCTTCTTAAATTAGACTGCTGAAATCAGGGAAGCTGGCGGGGAGTGGGGGGGTGGAAAGGGAAGGGAACTGAAGTCGGGGGGTTCGGTGAAAGCATTTATATTCAAACTCCAGTTCTTCTGAAAACAAATTCTTGCACTGAGCTGAACTTGTACTCAAGAGATCACAGTTCTACATCCTTCCTAAGCCACTGTTTTGCACCTAGTTTGGACTGGTGGTACTTTGGATTCTCGCAAACGGAAAAATAGATCCAGCAAGCCTACAGGTTCCCATCTTGTTGAAGAACCAGCCATCTAACAAGTTTCCAGCTCCCTGGATGTCAGCTGATCCCCAATGAACAAGCCATATGCAGGGGAAGTATGCGGAGAGGTTTATCAGTGGTTAATGCAGTAAGTCTTGCTGGGTCCACCTAAAGGGGGGGGGGGGTTGAGGCACAATTTAAGACAGCTTTTTTGATCTGAGTCACACCAAATGATAAGCTAGGATCCAAAGACATCTGGCTTGCTTTGCTCCTCCGCTCCTCCACATTAACAACTGCTAAGCAAATCAGAAAGGTTTGTTTAATGTGTCTTTTGAACCAAAGTTTCTGCTTGTCACTCCCCAAAAGCAAGCAAGAAGAAACTTGGTTTCCATATCCTAGCTTGGAAAGGAATCAAGAAGCCAACATGATGCTAATGGGGAGGAGCAATTAGGTTGTGTACACTAGCAAAAAGCTTCTTCACAATAAGCCATGTTTATTCTTCTGCGTAAATGACCTTAGCCGGGAAATTTTCCAGCAAAGTTTGTGATGATTGGCTCGAGGACTCACCAATCCACCGTTCCCTCTATGAAAGGAATTCAGCTGTTTAAGGGAGTCAGCTGAGTCGTTAGACTCCAATTTTCAGAGCTAAGAAGAAAATTAGTGAAGCGGTACCTCTGAAAGCAGAAGAATATAAACTGCAACACTGAAAAGAAAGGTATATTTAACCAGGCCGCTTAAAATTAATCCATTTGTTTACACTCCATTATCTTCAATGACTAATGAGCATTACAGAAAACAAAAGGTCTTCACTAAAGATTCAGACACTTTTCCCTTCAATTAAGTTATAAGAGACTTAGCAAAACACATGCTCCGAGGCATCCTTCCAGACCTCAAGCAGAATCCAGAAAAGCAACTCATTCCGTCCCTAAATAAATACAAGTCCTGAAAATTCAGCACTTAAGGCACAATCAGAAAAAAAGCCTACAGTTCCCAGTATGCGCAGCCTCTTTTCTGTTTAGACATGCATAGGATTGCTCTCAATCTATTTCCACAGCTTCCTCTCCCTCACACATACCCAAACACACATGAATGTGACTGAGAGGAACGTTTTTTAAAATTACTTTATCCTGCCTTCCTATGCTTCAATAGACAGAGTACAGGAGACCTCAATTCATGGGAAACCTCGATTTAAGTACCACCTTAGGACCATTTCGCACATTATACAGATGTTTGCCACAAGAATCCATACTCTGCAAAGAACAGCAGCCACTCACAGATCCTTGGCCAGGAGACATGCACAATTAGGATATTTCTGAATGAAAGAAGCATATTATTTGTTGCATCCACACATTATGTTCTGAAGCTAACAGTTAAAACAAGATAATATGTGAAGCCACCCTGAGCTATTGGACAGTTTCAGGCACAATCTAAGGCTGGATGTTTGGATTCTCTCTCTCTCTCTCTCTCTCTCTCTCTCTCTCTCTCTCTCTCTCTCTCTCTCACACACACACACACACACACACACACACAGAGGGAGGGAGGGAGGGAGGGAGGGAGGGAGAACTATTAGCACTCCTACAACTTAGCTGTCACAATTTCCCCCCAAAGAATCCTGGAATCTGCAGTCTGGGGAAGGCATTGGGAATTTTCTGTCAAAAGCGCCCAACCCTCCCTTCAATGCGACTGCTCCCCAAGTTCCTGGGAGGGAATTATTATTAAACGCGTTTCCTCAGAGGCCAGTCTCCAAGGGCGGGTTTGCATGCCGTAGAGCTCTTTGGGTGACTTTGAGCCACTCACCGACCCTCAGCCCAATCTTTCTCACAGGGTTGCTGATGTGAGGTGGAGACTGAGAAGAGATGAGGAATTCTTGTACATTAAACCACCCAGAGAGCATTGGCTGTGGGGTGGTTTGGAAGTGCAGCAGTTAAATCACTTCACCCTGTTGGATTCAGATAAACACACAAGCCTCCATGAACAGCAGCAACCCCAACACAAGCCATGAGTTCTCAAGGCGGCTTGTCCGTGAAAAATAAGCCACGTGGCAGAAGTTGTGATGGCTTTGCGTATGACAATGCACTATGTCAAGTCCACAGTGTCAAACAACTCTTGTCACTGGGTCCAAAGTGAAGGGAGCACCTCCAGTTAAAAGGACCAGGTAGATTTCTGTCCAAGACCCCAGGAGAGCCACTGCTAGTGGCCACAAACCATGCCAACTGGCCAATGTCAGGCAGTACAGTGGGGCTTACTCCGCAGTGAATTTGCACAGGATTACAGCCCAGAACACAGACATGACGGCAGTCTGTCTCCTCCACTAATAAAATAGCAATAGCAAATTCTCCAGGTGATCAGTGAGAACTATTGTAAATTGCTGAGTAGCTTAAGTGTGTTCATTTAAAAATTAACACAAAAAGGCTTTGTGCTCAAATCTCAAATACACTGCCCTGAAATAGAAACAAACATTGAAAACTAGGGGATGACATAAAAAGCATCCTGAGGTGCCTTCTTCCTTTTGCTTTTTTTTTTTCCTTGCAGGAGGGATTTAAAAAAAACAACAACAACAATTTTACTATGTTTCTTACTACCTTTGCAATGGTATAAGAAATATAGTAAAAGGATTTGTTTTTGTCTGCATGTTAGTGACTGTCGCACACTCTCTCTTCAAATATGTCGAGGGCACCTGCAACAAGGGATTCGCATGAAGCTGCAGAAACAGAAATGCAGAAATCAGAGCACCTTCCCTTCTTACACGCCCCATTTCTCTTTGGCGATCTTGCTGAGTCTAAGAGCACAAGGGAATACCAGCACCACTACTACAAAGGAAGCCTCTTAAAGGATTAAAATCAGTATTCTAAAAAAAGTCAAATTTCCATCCCCCTTCCACATCTCAGTGAATGGCAGAAATGCTATATTTATAATGTTAACACACAAAAGCATCAAAGGAAAATCGAGACTTCATGAGAGTGCTGAAATGCTTTCAACCCACACAGCTCAGATCCTAGAGGCACTGCTCAAGCTTTGTTTACAGTCATCTAACAGAGTCCTCGAACCAAAGATCTGACTTCTTCCCCCCAACATACAGCCAATTGCTCTTTTTCCTAGCACAAGAACATGAACGGATATCATCCTTAAATTACCAAATTAAGCCTTGTGCGTGTGCTAAGGTTCAGAAGTGCCTATTTTCTTGCAATCACAGCACAATTACATAAGGCATCTAATTTGTAGTTCAGTATAACAATGCTTGTTTTGACCGTTTTTAAAAAATTCTCAGTTCTCCAAGAATCCACACACACTCAACATTCTTGCCAGCGCACGATAGGAAAACAACTTAATGTGCCCCTCCTGGCAAGAGAGAGGAAGAAAGCTACCTATTCAGGAAATCCTCTGGCTTTCTAATGCAACAAATCAAACCTCTATAACCCACAAGTAGGCCTAAGTCACCTCAAACAGGCATGGCACCTTTTGGAATGCAGCATTCTATGTTTTACGTTGGCTTCTTCCCTTCTGAGCTGCAGCAGCCGGCAGCTGGGATTATCAATAGTGGCCTAGATTTCTGCCTTATAGCACTAGACTCCAGGACACCCCCAATATACCTTCTCCGATTATTTTTATCTGGGTTTGTATGAAATGCATACAACTTTCTAGTAATTTCACAAAGCTTTCAACACAAGTGAATCAAATAAGTATCCATGTGAAGTCAGACCTCATTTAGAATACAGTGTCCAGTTCTGGGCACTAAGACTTAAGGGACATGCAAAAAACAAACAAACAAAAAAGGATCCAGAGAAGGGCAACAAAAATGATCCAGGCTTTGGAAGCACGGCCCCCTATGAGGACAGGCTGAGAGAACTGGTTGTGTTCAGCCTTGAGAAGGGAAGGCTGAATGGAGACATGATGTCATTCTAGAAGTACCTCAAAGGCTGTCACGAAGACGACGGTCAAGATCTTTTCTCAATGACACCACAGTGTAGTTCAGGGAATAATCAACACAAGTTGCGACAACCCCAGTTCAGGCTAGGTATCAGGAAGGGTTTTGTCATTGCCAAAGCAACATGACAGTGGAATCAATTGCACAGAGAGGTCATGAGGTCTCCCTCACTAGACATATTAAAAAAACAAAACTGGGCAGTGATCAGAGTGGGATTGCGTCAACTGGTGTCCTGCAACATCAGGGCGCCGGACCTGATGGCCTTGTTGGCCTCTTCCATCTCTACTACTCTATGATTCTATAAAAATGGTGTAATCTATGCCATTGGTTCATATACTGAAAGCTTTGCAAGATCCTCAATCTACTGCATGTAAACAGGTATTTTGTAATATCGGTCTTCTAGCTATCAAAACAATGCAAAGAATCCATTTCCACTTTCGTTTCTCAAAGTCCGTGGAGTTTTTA